GATCAATTAGTCTTTGATTATCATTTCTCGAATTCATTTTCTCCCCCCTCCCCCCCCAAAAAAATATTGATTCTATTCCATATATCTATGTGGGATGTTTTATTGGATCAAAAAACAGATCAATCAACTTTGTCAAATTCGTTTCATTCATTTTACTTATGTCACAATGATCCAAATGATGGTAACATTTAATTATGATGTGATGATTTTTCTTTTCTTTGAATAAATCAAACCTATTCCTAGATTTCCTTATGTTTAGAACCTTAAATTTTGATGGCAATTACACATAATTATGCAAATAAATATACATATACAATATACATTTTCAACTTAACTAGTATTCTTTCTTAGTTCTTTCATCGTCCCCAAATAGCATGGTATAGTTGAAGGTGAAAACAGTTTACTCCCCCCTCCTCCTCCTCCTCTTCGAATGCTCTTATATGGGGTCACGCATATATTGTGATTCATACTCACCTCTTAGTTAGGGTGTTGTTTACTAAATTTAAAGGACTGAAGAAGAATAACCGGTTGGAGTTTAAATTGGGTTGTGGGACATGGAGGACTCAATTAGAGAAGTCTGGAAACCCTGATTCCAGTCAATAGTCAATATGGGTCATTAGCTAACATAGGAACGCATCTCTTGACGATGCTTCACAGCCTTGTGGATAAGACCTCTGAACCAAAGGTTGGGGGAATGATTACGTGAGAAAACTACCTACTTCGATTTGGGCAGTCGGGGAATATTTCAGCCCATACACAAATTTTATTTATTTAAACACAAATATTGGTACAAAAGAGCACCGAATACGTATACGTCACACAAGACATTTTATTTGCGTGTGGACTATGATATAACCCGGGTGCTCAGACCAAAATAAGTGGTTTCCGTAGGAGGCCACCACCAGAGCCTTTGACCTAAAAACCTAATCCACAAGGAAATGGAGCAACGTCAGTAGCTGCAGTCATATGGTAGCTAGCTGGTGACCAATAATTGGTTGATACACCAATTGTTCCTTCATGATCCTGTAGGCCATGTGCACCATTGATTTGGAATGAGGGTTTCCCAACTCCCCTGAGTAGATCCTTTATGTCCACCAACTCGGTTAAAGTACCTGCCGGATATTCACTTTTCGTCCTCTAAATTTCGTGAACAACATTCCCACCACAGGAAGGCAGTGGGTGGGGCTTCCCTGGCAGTGGTTGTATGCACGTGGCCATGTGATAGCATTTGGAAAGGAAGAGCTGACTATCGGCCGTAGCAGGGCACTTAGGGGCCCAAATTTAGTAATAACTGGTGCGGTTCATATATTCTTCAATACCCTTTTGTACCAATGTTTAGACAAATAAACAATAAATGAGTTTTATTGAATCAGTACGCTAACAATGGACTATTCTTCATTTAGGAGAAAAATGTAATTAGTAGTGACCTTCTGTTCCATACTTGACCGTAATGACGATTTAGACTTGTACAATGATTAGTGAATGGTGTCATATTCGCTTAATCCTTAATTGTTGATCTCAGTTATTACTCAAAGATCAATCAATGTCAAAGAAAATCAATCGCATCTAGAGTAGCTCAATAGTAATACCCTAGACTGATACGTTTATTCAAATTCCGTGTCTAACGTTTCCTGTCGATTATTTCCGACCACATAGCATTCAACCTTTTGTTCAACTTCCCAAAAGTCTATAATTTCTTAAAGATTCAAATTTATATGACTCAACATGAATATCTTAATGGTCAAAGCGTTCAAATACTAATTATAGTTTCTTATAAGTTGTTGCGATGAAATTGGAGATTACTTTCGACGAGACTATAATTTATGGATGAGGCAATCAGAAGCGTTTGATAGATTTCAAGGTTACGGTGCTAATTTCAATACCTGATACTCACGTACGTTCGGTTTATAGCGGATTTTGGAGATGTGATAATTTAGCGGCTACAACAGATGGGATTACTAAGAAGTTCTTTTATTTGTGACTGCGGTTATGAAATAATTGCTATACAGTGTGCAGACTACCGTGATGATGTTATCTATTTTGGAGGAAGAAATATGCTAGATCAGGAACTGTCTTCGCTCGATCTCGATTGAGACCAAGACAAATCATGATAATTGTTGCAAATTGGACAATAAAAGCACCAGTAACACGTCACTGAAGCTTCAGCTGTTCAGTAGTCTGAGTATTGTAAAGATATATGTGCAATAAAAATGACAAGTTTATACGAGTCGTTTGGAGGAGTTGGAAGAATCGTTGAAATAGACAAAACAGTAGTCAGAAAGCGAAAATTTAACAGAGTACTTAGTATTAAGGAAGACTGGGTAAGAGGCAACTCCATAAATATACCTCACAGGTCCTTGGACTTTACGACAAGTTAGCCCAAAAGGGACACTTCCAAAGGGTCAGAAACCAATAGGCGACGACAATAATACCAATTATACAAGAGTATGTGCAGCCAGGCACAACAATCTATACAGATGATTGGAGAGCGTACAGATACCCGCATACACTTAGTTATGTACATCATGTCTTTGTCCACAAGCTCCATTTTCTAGACCCTACAATCGGAGTGCACACAAACATTATTGAAGCTATGTGATCGAGGCTGAAGGAGTTTTTACAATCTAATCATTGCTCGAGAGGTCAACTATTATGGAGCCATATAAATGACTTTCTCTACCGTATGATCTACGATTTGAGAACCTCTAAACCTCTTTCAAACCTTGATAAGTTTTGGAACCATGTAAAAGAAGTGTATCTACTTTAAGTCTTTGGTTTTGTACAATATATTTTTTACTTTATACTAGGTGTCTTCTGATTGGCTAGTATTTCTCAGGGTCACTTAAGATTCATTCAAAGGTCGTCCATAAATTATAGTCTCACCGGAATTGAAATCCAGAAAGGATTAGACAGATCCTTAGTATTAGTACGGAACTCCTCACCACCGTGTGCCTATAAACCCATGGGAGGTTGAACCCAGAGGATTCAGGCCTCTTAATTAGCGATCCATTCTAAATCTGGTGAGTAGATATACAATGGTTTACATGTGTAACTCTAATGTGTTCGAAATATTGCATGGTCAATCTTCCAACGTTGTTAATGAGTAACTCCATTGATCATATCTTCTTACTAAAACTCCGGAAATTATCCATCACATTTTAGTTTTCAGCACTCCCTTCTCTCCTCATCATTTGGTTTTTGGTATATTGTATCGAATACTTAGTTGAATTCACGAGTCAATTAATACAGCGAGCATGGGGTCAGTAAGATATTTCGAACACAAAACCAGCATAATAGCAATGCTGCATTCCTTAAAGAAGGAGTGGGGTTAGGAAATGCACACCACGCCTTTTCCCATGGATATCCGTCTTCGGCGGTAAGGTCTCAACAAGTACAGAGCTAACACGAAAATTATCAGTAAAAAATGTGTGTGAGACTAACCCCAATCAGTTGTCCCTTGGGCACTGTGGTCACAGGTCACTAAGACTACCGTTAACCCAATTTCCTTTTCAGATACCTCCAGAGAAACCCTTCCACGGTGTGGACAACCGGGAAGTGATAACTGCCTTCATACCTCTAGTAGCACAGCTTCGCTCTCTTTTCTTCGCCTCATTCACTACGATTCTCTGATTGTCTGTTCCAATCCACGAATGTACAACGTATACATATTAAAAATATCCATTCTCGTATATAACTTATTTAATTCCATTATACACCAATGCGATTGAAGTTGCTAATTCTATACTAGGCTAGATGACATGAATATTTCAATGCCAATTATATATACAATCTTGTAGTGTCAGTCATTATTTTATGCCCATATACCTTATTCTAGCTTTCGGACATTCCATTCTATTCATTCTACTTGAGCCATATTTTAACCTTGTCAATTATTTGTTTATCAGTCTTGACTGTTTTTATATGAGCACGTAGGTCTGTGTACACTTCATATCCCATGGCTCATCACATGTCAGTAGCTTTATTTTTGTCTGCCTATAAATATTGAGTAACGCTTGACTAAAATGGAGTTGACTTCCCAGCCATCTTCCATACATGTCATTTTGTTTTACTATGTTTCATTCGCTTCATATATAAAATATATGTATTCACAAATCACTGGCGAGACCCTAATTTAGGGACGAGCCAATCAGAAGCGTTTGAGCAGTTTCAAGGTCACGGAGCCAAGTTCAACACGCGATGCTAACATACGATCGGTTCACAGCAGATTTTAGAGAGGAGGTGATTAATGAGAGGTTACAACAGATGGGATGGCGAGACTCTAATTGACGGACGAGCCAATCAGAAGCGTTTGAACAATTTCAATCATTAGCCAATCAGAAGACAGCATAAAGTAAAAATATATTAAAAGAAAGTAATAAATTACAGTGGATATTCTTCTTTTACATGATTTAAAAACTCATATGTTAGCATCCTAACCCTAACCTTGACCTTAAAACCTAACTCTCATCTAACCCTAACCCTAACCCTCAACTAACCCTAACCCTAAACCCTAACCTTAACCCTAACCCTAAACCTTACCCGTAAACCTAACCCTAACCCAATGGACGAGTTTCTATTCCATATGCATTGTGAATTCAGAACCTCTGAACCTTAATCAAACCTTAACAAGTTTTTAAATCATGTAAAAGAAGACTATCCACTGTAATTCATTACTTTCTTAGAATATTTTTTTCACTTTATACTAACTTTCTTCTGATTGGCTAATAATTGTCAAGGTCACTTAAGATTCGTTCAAAGGTCGTCCTTAAATTAGAGTCTCGCCCAATCATTTATACGATCTAAATAAGAGTCAGATCCACAGGACACTAAAAATGGTGAGCCCTTCAACGAACATTGTCCGATCTGAATGACCGCAAATAAAAGGGCCCCAATAATCTAGTTGAAGTTCAATCCCAAGCCTACTAAAATGATGATCCCATGGAAAATAAGATTGACGTCAAAATACACATATCACTAAACATGTTCATCATAAACATAAGTCAAAATGTTTCAATTTTGTATATTCATATAGTCATATATATCATAGGATTATATATATAATTGGTTACTTTCAACATACAAAGTATATGAATTTGAAAAAGCGCTAGATAGAATCAATTCAATTGTGCGTAGAAACTAAGCTATAAATCACTTTTTTTTGGGATAAAGAAATGAAAGTAGAAGAAGACAACAATGTGAAATCCATCTTCAATATTGAACTATAGATTAGATAGATTGATTAGATAGATAGATAGATAGATAAACGGCTTAGTATCTTGGACTCAATATCTATATCTATATATATATTGCAATGCATTTTAGTAATAAGTCAACAACTTCAATGTATTCCATTACAAGTATATCCATTTGTATATGAGTAATAATAATAAAGAGTATTGAATGTAAACAAAGTTACAATTTATTGATTGAAAAATAATAATGATGTGATTTCTGTTCAATTTAATGCTTATTTATATTATGTAATCTGTACATACATAGTTGCTATGCATATTAATATATCTATCTATCATCCATTGAATTTACTTCAGTTCAGTTCAGTTCAGTTTAGTTACATGAAATAAATCTATAATGGAGATATTTGTGAAAATGAATAAAGAAACAAACAAACAAACAAAAAGAAAAAGAAAAAATTTTTTTTCTTTTTTCTGTTTAATATTATAGAGATTGAAGTATCTATGTATATATATATATATATAGCGAGAGAGAGAGAGAGAGAGGGAGGGAGGGAGAGAGAAGAGATTTTATTTAAAAGTACTGGAAAGTGCTGTTATCACAGTTGGAAATTAGTACAATTATTTATTGAATTGATAAAAAAGAACAGAAATAGAGAAAAACAAACAAACAAACAAAGAAAAAACAGGCCAAACTATGTAACACTATGGTATTCTACTTTATATCATACAATACATTGTATCATATATGGTATAATAATATTACTGTATATGCATATATATATATATATATATACTCAGTTACACATACATACATACATACATGTAGTTATATACATATATATACACACATATGTATTTCTTTATTCTGATTGGATATATTTTGTGCACTCAGCTACAAATGCACACGTCAAAGACATACATACGTACATGTAGGTATTACATACACATGAGCACACACGCGCGCACATATATATATATATATATATATATATATATATATATTAATGTATATCTTTATTCTGATTGGATAATAATGATGATGATAATAATAAAGAACCTATTGGCATACACAAAATATAAAAAAATGTGTCATCAACAGAATGATAAATATCCATACACATTTATGTTGTCACATAGTAACTAATCTATTCATTTATCCATCAATTAATCAATAATAAATGCAAATGTATATGAAGAGATCATATATAAATAATTAATAATCAATAATATTAATTGCATTGATGACGTAGTAGTAGTGGTAGTGTAATAATGAGTTCTAGTTTACCTCTGTTTCTTTCTTCTATCATGTAGATCTATTTCATTCATTCATATATACATACATACATATATATATGATCTGAATTTTATTTTTGTGTTTTTCTTTAGTGTGTGTGTGTGTGTGTGTGGGCATGGTTACTCACTTAATAAATATAATTTTTTTTTTGTAAAAAAAGAAAGAAAGAAATTATTAAATGGAAGACTCAACAATCACATTAACAACAAAAGGAAACAATGACATGTATAAACAAGAATGAGTTATTCTCTTTAGAAAAAGAAAAACAAAAAAGAAAAAAGAGAAAAACAAAAAAAGAAAGAAAGAAAGAACAATTTACAATTGATCTACAATAGAAAAACATTTTTTAAAATCAAGATGCATACAGTTTTGTTCTGTATTTTTGGTGTGTTTTTCTCTTTCTCTCTCTCTCTCTCTCTCGCTTGTTACTGATAGGAATGCTTTTTTTGATTGAAAATAAAGAAAAAAAGTCTTCATTGATAATGGTAATATGATGAGGATGATGATGGTGATGATGATGCGCATACTTTACTTCCTTACTTCCTTACGCTTATTACTTCTTGTGGAGGAGCATAGACCTCCAGCCAATAACACCTTTCATCCAACCTTATCCTGGGCACTCATAAATTAAGAGATAATAAATATGTAGTAAATGGTATACACATATGTATATATATGTACATTAGTAGTCAAGTTGGAAATATTGATTTGATTACATAATATTACTACTTAATAATAAATCAATAAAAGTTTTTTTTTAATATTTTTAATATTCATTTAATCGATGCATAATATAATCTGTAATTATAGTTGCATTACATTCTGGTGTATCACATAATACATGACACATATTTTCTCTTGTATTTTGTTTTCTAGCAACAAAACCAAAAATTCTAAAAAAAGAAAAAAAAACGAGAATGTTACAATGAAACAATCAATATTAATGGATAACTTTTGTAAAAGATTCGAATTTAAGACCTTTTGGATCACATATGGGAACGTTTAACCTTTAGACGATTGAGTTACAGATAAGATTGTGGATGAGTGATGTTGAGGAATATCATTACTTACTTACTTACTTATGCCTGTTACTTCTCGTGAAGGAGCATAGGCCGCTCACCAGCATTCTCCATCCAACCCTGTCCTGGGAAATCCTTTCTAGCTCCGTCCAGTTGTAATTCATCGTTTTCATATCTGCTTCTATTATCCGACGCAATGTGTTCTTTGGCCTTTCTCTTTTTCACTTCCCTTCAGGATTCCAAGTTAGGGCTTGCCTCGTGATGCAGTTTGACGATTTGCGTAATGTATGTCCTATCCATTTCCATCGTCTTTTTCTAATTTCTTCTTCAGCTGGAAGTTGGTTTGTTCTCTCCCACAGAAGGCTATTGCTGATGGTATCCGGCCAATGGATGCTGAGTATCTTGCGTAGACAACTATTTATAAATAGTTGTACCCTCTTGATGATGGTTGTTGTAGTTCTCCAAGTTTCAGCTCCATACAGTAGAACTGCCTTGACGTTCGTATTGAAGATTCTCACTTTTATATTGGTTGACAGACAGTTGTTTTGAGTTGCATATGTTCTTCAATTGTAGGAATGCGACCCTTGCTTTGCCGATCCTCGCCTTTACGTCTGCATCGGATCCTCCTTGTTCATCGATGATGCTTCCCAGGTATGTGAAGGACTCTACATCTTCCAGAATATCATACTAGAATATAATGATTGTCCAGTGTTTCAAAGTTTTCACTGATGGTATAGTTCAGATGAACTGATGAATGTGAAAGCTATCTAGTAACATAACATACTTACTTACGCCTGTTACTCCCAATGGAGCATAGGCTGCCGACCAATATTCTCCAACCTACTCTTTCCTCGGCCTTCCTTTCCAGTTCTATCCAATTGTTATTCATTCTTCTCATGTCTATCTCCATTTCTCGGCGTCATGTGTTCTTTGGTCTTCCTCTTTTCCTTTGACTCTGAGGATTTCAACTGAGGGCTTGTCTCGTGACACAGCTGGGTGCCTTCCTCAATGTGTGTAATCACATATGGGAACGTTTAACCTTTAGACGATTGAGTTACAGATAAGATTATGGATGAGCAATGTTGAGGAATATCATACTAGAATATAATGATTGTCCAGTGCTTCAAGGTTTACAAAGATAGTATAGTTCAGATAGACTGGTGAATGTGAAAGCTATTAACTATCATGAATTACATACTTACACCTGTTACTCCCAATGGAGAATAGGCCACCGACCAGCATTCTCCAACCCACTCTGTCCCTAGCTTTCCTTTCTAGTTTTATCCAATTCTTGTTCATTCTTCTCATGTCTATCTACATTTCTCGGTGTAATGTGTTCTTTGAGAGGATGAAAAGTGAATATCCGACAGGTACTTTAACCGAGTTGATGGATACGGAGGATTCACGTAGGGGAGTTGAAAACCCTCGTCCCAAATAAATAGTTTAATTGACTGATGATCTCAACTACTGAAATTACTATAATATCCACAAAAACCCCTTCTGTTATTTAATAGTTTAATTAGCTGACAAAACCAAAGTTTTGAACATTTTTTTTGTGATAGTAGTCTAGGATTCATAAATGTTAGACTTGAAGTACAGTTTAATAATAATCTGAAAAACTACATTCTATTGTTAAATATCATACATATATTTGAATGGGTTTCAATTTCAATACTTGAGCTCATGAGTTAATTAAAGCTAGACCATCATGAAAAACCTGGAAGTACTGGACGACCGTTTCGTCTTAGTATGGGACTTCTCAGTGACAATGCACATCCATGATCTCGCCCGTCCGTTCGGCCTAAAGTACAGTAAAATGGTAATCTGAATATCTATATTCTATGGTTAAATATCATACATATATTTACTGTGCAATTCTTAAATATACTCTATGTTAATGATTGTTCTATATTAATTGTTGATCTAACTCCTCCTGGAGACTTTCTTGAGCTATTGTCGATCTCAAGCCCGGATAAAAGAGGAGGGTTGAGCATGGAGATAGCGACTCCATTCCGTAGAAAACTAACTCGTTAAGAAAAAAACACACTAACCAAGTAACCGTTGATCTATAGTTCTAATGGTTCATATATATATATACTTAATTAATTATGTATTTGTCATTTACTTCTATACAATAAATGACCTAATTATGCATAGATTATAATTTCTTAATTGTGCACATTATGATCTTGTTTATTGATACATATGATCATGTGAGCTTGAAGTTATACACTCTAATTCATTGAAAACAAAATACATATTGAGTAGTTTGATTGTTCTCGTGTTCTATGATGTAGGCTAAGTTGAAGAGAAAGTATTTGACAGTGTGGATAGGAGAACTTTATGGAAACTTCATTGACACTATGATGAACCTGAAAAGATCGTCAATATCATGTGGAATTCATACGAAGGACCACACGGTGTGGAGGACAGCAGACAGATACATTCCAAGTGAGGACTAGAGTCAGATAAGTCTTCTTACTCTCCATCTTCCTCTTTCTTCTGGTGGTCGACTGGATTATGAAGACCTCCACATCTGAGAGGAAACACGGAATACCATAGACAACTCAGAATCAATTAGAAGACTTGGACCTGGCTCTTCTATCCTATACACATCAACAAATGCAGGTCAAAACAGTCAGTGTAGCAGCAGTCTCTGCATCAGTAGGCCACAACATACACGAAGGAATAAGCAAGGTCCTCAAATACAACACGGAATACACCAACCCAACCACACTTGATGAAGAAACTCTGAAAGATGTAGAAACTTTCACATATATATAGACAGAATCATCGATGAACAAAGAGGATCTGATGCAGATGTGAAGGCAAGAGTTGGCAAAGCAAAGACAATATTTCTGCAGTTGAAGAATATATAGAACTCAAAACAAATATCAATCAACATCAAAGTTAGAATCTTCAATGCGAATGCCAAGACAGCTCTGTTGTACGAAGTTGAAAATTGAGGAACTACCACAACCATCATCAAAAATGGTACAAGTCTTTATAAACAGTTGGCGACGTAAGATCTTCAATGTCTGTTGACCGAATGCCGTCAGCAAAAACCTACTGTGAAAGAGAACAAACCAGCTGAAGAAGAAATTCAGAAAAGACGTTAGAAATGGATCACGAGACAAGCGCCAACTAGGAATCCTGAAGGGAAACGGAAGAGAGGAAGGCCAATGAACACGCTATGTCGGGAATCGGAAAAAGACATCAAATGAATGAATAGCAACTAGAAACAACTGGAAAGGATTGCCCAGAATATAGTTGGATAGCGAATTTTGGTGAGTGGTCTTTGCTTTTCCACATGGGGTAACAGGCATAAGTAAGTAATAAGCATTATAATATCTACATTGGTCAATTCACAGTGGATACCATTTATTGATTATGAATATTATGTAATATTTATGTATATTAACTTACAATGAAGATTTGAAGCCCATTGATCTGAGTTCAGGTGATTCCCAACTATAAAACAAGAAAAATATTGATTCACATAATAAACTTTTAGTTCTTGTTTGCTTTTAAATAAGTAAACCTTTATGATTGATTGATCAGTGTGAGTTTCACATACAGAAATGAGTAATCAGAGAGGGGTTCTATGGATATTATAGTAATTTTAATAGTTGAATTCATGAGTCATTTGAAGCTAGACCACTATGGAAAACCTGGAAGCACTAGACGGCCTATTTCGTCATGTAGGATGGGACTCCTCAGAAGTAACTCACTGATGACAATAGTGGATGTTGGAGCAACTTCGTGCATTAGTTGAAGTTAGACATTAACACCGTCAGATGCCGGCTCAGTGGTTTAGTTGGTTAAGCGCCTGGCGCGAGACTGTTATGTCCTGTGTTCGAATCCCGCGAGGCGAGATTGTGGATACATACTGCCGAGGAGTCCCATATTAGGACGAAACGACTGTCCAATGCTTCGAGGTTTTCCATAGTGGTCTAGGTTCAACTGACTCATGAGTTCAACTGTTAAAGAAATGAGTAAATTAAAGGAGAGGGAGAGAGATAAAGAAGTCTTACGAAGAATACAGTTCGAGCTAGTGTAATGAATTCATTCTTAACATAATAATAATGATTTCAATCCAGTGTGTGTGTGGGGGGGTGAAGGGTGGACTTTAACCCGATTTCAAAATATTACTTTAACGAATTGGTTGAATTTCCAGTTGAATTATAATGAATATTTTAAGTTGTAGTTGTACTGATAATTAGATAACGAGTTTCATAATAGTTAGGGATTCTCCCCAGATATGTCACCTTTTTCCTCCTAGAATGAGAGACCAGATAAGGTTGTCTGTGAACAATGTTCAGGAGTGTAATCCTCATTAAACAATCCAACAACTATTACTTCCACTGTGTGTATGTGCATGGCTTCAAGAGAACATCCCCACATCTCAACGGTAGTGAAGTACTGATAAATTTTCGTGTTAGCGCGCGAGGCTGAAGGCTCTGGGTTCGAGTCCCGTGAGTGGGATCGTGGATGCATACTGCTGAGGACTACAACAATAGGACGAAACGGTCGTCCAGTGCTTCCAAGTTAATACAACAACCATATAGGCCCAACCAATTATTGGATTCCCTAATTATTTTAAGGGATAGGTGATACTTTGAACCAAATGATAAATGAAAGGTGCTAATAGGTACACGCTATAGATAATGATTTAGCCTAACTTTCTGAGGAAATAGGCACAAACCACAGGGTGAAAATACCGTCTAATTTGCATATATTTTTGATTCGATTAGCCAATTACTCTTGATTTTCTCACTCAAGGAAGTACAAAAATGAGCAGAAGGCTAAAACGACGGCGGGAGCAGGGATAAATAAACTTTGTCATTGATGTATTCCATTTTAGAAATTACTGCAAGGATTCCAAGACCCTTTGGAATGAATGTCTCTTACAAATCAACAGAAGCATTTCGTTCCATTCTTAGCAATTTGAGGAATGCAACAACAAAGGACAAAAATGATAAATCATCCATTATGCTCATTGTGCTAACTATGAGAAGCACTAATATTGGACAAAGTGAACATTGCTTTCATGTACATATTCATAGACACAGAACAGTAGTGAAAAAATACAATATCTTATCACTTATATAGATTCATCCGAATAACTATAGGCACTGACGGATTCGATTCTGTGTCATCCAGCTTCACAGTCACAGATGTCAACACTAAGCTATCTGGGCCGCGACCAACCTCCTGTAGGACTAAGATGTATTTACAATTGATTGATCACTGGATGGTGATCAATGTCATGTATGTCAGGTCCTTCTTAATGCCAAAGTTGAGTCACCTAGACTAGTAGCCATATTGCAACTTGATCAATAGGATTTGATTTACAATAAGAAGGACCTACAACAACGTAGAACCTGTAAAATGATTTCAATGGTCAATAATTTCAATTTTTATAACTTTGACAAAGAAACTACCTACACTTACCATCTTTGACAAGGATCAATTGCACAAAATGATACAGAATGAAATGGATAATTTCGTCGAAAAAATAATTTTCTCCAATTATCTGTAACTGTTAATCCATCTTGTGAAACACGTATTGTTACTTCGGTTTGTCTAACCTATTTTAATGATAAACAATACTAATCAATCAATCAATCAATCAATCAAACCTCAACTGGGCACAGTTGAAAAGACTCTATATATGACATATGTTGCTATGGAAATGAGTGATTTATCCTAGTTTAAAATCCTCAGCAGTGTGTAACCCATGCCTTGTCTTGGACTTAACCTATGGCCTTCTCATATCTAGCAGTAAACGATGTTATATCCCGACGAAAACAGTGGATGGTAATTGTTTCGACCTGTTTATGGACCAACTAGATAAACTATGCATATTCATATTCCTCTTATTATAAGCTTTATTTTGACATACAGACTACTATGATACGACTTACCGTTCTTGAGTCTATCAATTACTATTTGCCTCATTCACAGCTATTCTTTTGGCTAGATCTTGTACAAATGTGTGTTTTCTATGTTATGGTAGGATATGATCTGTTTGGTTTGTAATATAAATCTAGTATGTTTGATATACATAATTCATATCGCAGAGGCTGTTTTTGGTTTTGTGGAAATAACAGGCAGGCCTAGGCACGGAGAAGGACTGATAAGGACTCTAGACTATTCGTACGGGTTTATATGTCATTAGTCCGGTCGATAATTCACTGTTCTCTAAATGTAGGTATCATTACGTTACATATTAATTAGATACAAGGCCACAAGTTATCACAAGTGGTTCAACTTGTACACCACTACTGAGTTAAGATCCAATGCTTCAGATGTTCAGCCTCAGTTAATTTGTGAGATAGTGTGACTGTTATTCAATAGTGTTGATGATGAGTTTTATATTTCCAAAATGGATCACGAATTCCTACTAAATATTCACAAAATCACCTGGAAGCTAATCACTGTTTAGATTATGCTTATGGAGATTAATTTCATTTGAGAATGTTTTCCCATATCACATCCACCAGTTCTTCTCTCTTTCACCTTTGAGTTTCGGTTTACGGACCTACACACAAGATGTTAAGTCCAGGAACAATAGTCAATAGAAAAAGATAGGAAAGATAAATTTAACACAGCTGAACTAAAAGTTTAGCCAGTTTAAGCCAACCCTAAAGGAGACAATTAAGAAATCGTACAATAAATCTTTGTTACTCATAAGTAATATAAATAGGACAATTAAATTTCACAAGGAGGTTCCTAGATTATCATTCATTTTGACGATAGTAGGATTGATTAATAGGGAATATTGAAGAATTCTTATGGTGACTGTTGACGGTTGGGGAGTGAAACATCTAATAAATAATGCATAGGTTTCAATATTTTCTAATGTAACCCCATTTAATGAAGAATGGTCATAGTGAAGAATATTAGGCCTAATTTCAACAATTGTCATGTTCAGAAATAAGTGCCTTTTTGAATATGAATTGTAGTTTTCTAAACGATACTTATCATTAAACATGTTGATTACTTATGAATGAATTCATGTTTAATCATTGATCATGAAGTTTAGGTGGTTTTCTTTAAGATCCTGTGTTCACAAGCACTTTATCTCACAGATTCACATTTCATTCAGAAGGGGTTTTGTGGAGATTGTAGTAATTTCAACAGTTGAGATCATGAGTCAGTTGAAACTAGACCACCATGGAAAACCTGGAAGCACTGGACGTCATGTCCACGATAGGATGAAACGGCCGTCCAGTGTTTCCAGGTTTTCCATGGTGGTCTAGTTTCAATTGACTCATGATCTCACATTTCATTGTCGAATCATATGGTCTATGTCTAGTCGTTTCTGTGACCATTGATACTGCTACTACTATCATCATTTTATGCTGATAGGATATGGCGACTTAAATCAATGTATCATATGTGCCACGTTCTATGTTTCATACAACTGAATGACCTAATAATCTGTGTGTAAATCGATACGATACATGTATTCTTGTTGTATGATTGTTAAGTAGGTAAACTATTCATATTCTTATTCCTGTTATTATTAGCTTTATTTTAACACATAGACTATTATGAAACGATTTACTGCTCCTCAGTTATGCCCCAGTCTATTCATTACAGCCTCCCTTATTCACAGCCACATTTGGCTAAATCTTGTACAAATGTTGTTTCCTATTTTATGGTATGATGTGGTCTGTTTGGTTTGTATATAAACCCAGTATGTTTGAAATAAGTGATTCGTGTCTTGGAGGCTGAGATTGGTGTTCTGGACTCAACAGGCAGGGCGAATCGGGGAAAAAAGTGCAGTTGGATACCTAGGCCGCTCATACAGATGTATAAGTCAGCGTACCTAAATTGGCAATTGTATTTTACCATAATCGTATAAATTGAAGATACAACAGGTTCTAATCAATAAAGCGCTAATAGAAGTTTAAAATGAAGATTTAATGTCAGAATTAAGAATGATAGTTTGGGATTAACATTTCAGACTTAGGACTAGGATCCATATAGAACAATTATGACCCATTATCATAATTCCACAATGTAGGAAATGATTGTCATCTTTAGAATTGAAAGTATCTAACCCAAGTTCTCGGCGAGGAGGATTATGCTTAGAAACAACCAATGAAATAGTGAGTTTGTTCCTGTCTAAGACGAATGATCTAATAGTATAATTTAAGGTCAAGTAAAAAACCTGTTCAATGATTGTTTTGATAGATAAGTCATGTCGCAGACATAAAGTTTTTCATTGTATCCAACTGGATAAAGATCGTTCCCCATCTCTCTTTTTAAGTTAATTGTCATCAATCATCCAATGACTTAATCAATGTCACAGATAATCAATTCAATTAAAGATTGTTTAATTACTGACAAGGACAAGATCATAATTTGTGAACAAATCAATCAGACTTAAGATAGTAGGTCTTGGATTCCGTAACGAGATCCATTCATCCATATGATTAAATTAACTAATGTCAGTTCATGATGAAAACTTTAACTCTAGTTCCTAAACCCTAACTTTAAACTCTAAATCCGAATCTTACTTCTTCCTATTGATTATAGTCAGTTATCATAATTCCATGATCATCTTTATCTAGTCAATCAGTTATACGAAATTGATACAAATTTGCATTAGTTCAAGTCCCTGTATCGAGTTAGTATATCAAAAAAAGTATAGAGATAACTCCCAGCATCGTGGAAGTAGTAACAATGTCAGTAATAATAACAGAAAATACTGGACTGGGAACAGATAAGAGTGTCGTCTCTTTCCGAAATAGTCTCACTTACACTTATTAATTCCAATTTCTTTTAGTAGTCTGTAGAGCTTTTTTGCGTTACCTACAGCCGTCGCCTTTTCCATCTCTTCTGCTTTCGTTGCCCATCAATGCTCACGATCGTTCCTAAACCTTGGGCTTAACCTAGATCTAATTTGTTTTCTCTCTCCATCGTCTTCAGAGCCCGATGGGATGAGTTTACAAGAATCCAAGTGTAATAGACTTAGAAGAAATTCATTGGTTTTTTGTAACTCTTTGGTTTAAATCACTAACAGATGTCACTGCTGTTTCCACGGCTGTTTGTATATTTTTCCAAACAACATCTGGGTCAACCTCGTTTTCAGGACTACCTAAGTGTGATCTCAGTTGTTCCTGGAACCTACTTTTGGTTTTCTCATTACTCAATTCAATCCTAATGGGTCATTTTAGTGTGACTTTTTTGCGTCCAGTGAGGCGCAAGCAGATGTGTGCCCGTATTAGAGCATGGTCGGAGTTCAAGCAGGTATTCCAGAATGATATGGTTGGGCCACGTGTTGCGTACGCCTGAACACGATTATCACGACACGCATTGTTGACTAGTGTTGCGGATGGTTAGATAAAAGTTAGGAGTGGCCAAACCAAAACGTGGCATCAGTCTATAAAGTCACTAACTTCTTGTTTGAGCCACGTTGGTAGATGCAGACTACTTGGTTGGGGTCCGCGTGACCATCGTAATCAATGGTTGGAGATTTTGTAGGACATGGTTCAGAATCGATCACAATGACGTAGGTGTATACACTCTTTGTCTTAAATCGTGAGATTAAAGTTGCTTTATACCTTTGTTTCTACGAACTAATTCTTTCTTCCTGTACTATGTCCTTATATACAATCTTTCTTTTATATATTACCACCTCTGAATTAACTACTTCTATGGATCCGATGTTCATCTTGTTGTGCTAATGAAGTGTGGCAACTTGGATCGATGCATATATGTGCCTGGTCGTACATTGTAGCTGACTGACTGCTTGAATATCTGAACTACCTGTTCCTGTCATCTAGATATTTCAGCAAGTGAACTCCCATTTTATGTTTGTTTTGATACATCATTATGTCTATTAATCATATAAATGATTCAGGTGAGTTTCTAGAAAGTGTACAAATTAACAAAAGAGTCCAATCACAGACATCATGGTGACTGTCAATATGTATGGAAAAGAATGAACACTATTCAAATGTTGATTCCTGAACTGCTAACATCTAACTAGTGATCACTCAATACTTATCTAGTCAAGATCAATCAAGAAATACGGAATGGAAACTCGCTAGAATTCTATCTTGTACCAAGCATATAATATTGAATAAAGTCACATTAATAATAATAATAAATGACATAGTCATTACGAGAAATTAACTTTACCTGAGCTGCATTTTCTAAAAGGACATCAACTGCTTTACGAATTGCTGAAGAACCTGTAAGATTCTCAGTGTCAATACTTCCTAAATAGATCGATGTAAATGCTGTGTAAAACACCCCCCCCCAAAAAAAACAAAAAAACAAAAATAGATTTCAGGTTCTTCAAATTAGATAAAATAGTCATATTCAGTAGTAATTATTAAACATGTGAAAATATCAATAAAGAATAGTTGGTAAGACGACGTTTGAGGGACACTAAACTGACTTTGAGAGTGTCCACCTAATGAATAAGACCAAATGATGATTATAAATTAATGTGAGAAATTACGATTCTGATTTACAGTTGATGGTTAAGGTTAAATTTCCATTACGAATTGACATCACATATAATGCCAAAACTCTGTTTATGCAAACGGATGAATGAATTTCGCGCCAAATTCCGAGACCTGTTATCTTATACACCTGATTGGTTCGTTCATAAGTTATAGTCTCAATGATCATCTTATTATATATTTGTAAGTCAGATGAGTTTTGTGGATGTTATAGTAATTTTAATGGTTAAGATCATGAGTCAGTTGAAGTTAGACCACTATGGGGAACCTGGAAGCACTAGACGGTGGTTTCGTCCTACTACGGGACTCCTCAGCAGTACGCATCCACGACCTCGCCCACTGCGAGATTCGAACCCAGGATCTGTCAGTCTCCCCCGCGAACTCTTAACTACTAGACCACTGAGCCGGCATCTGACGGTGTTAATGTTTAACTTCAACTAATCCATGACATTGAGCGACACATCCACCATTGTCTTCAGTGAGTTACTATCTCACAATTGACCTGGTTGAAGTTCATTGGTCACTACTTCTCACTAGAACTCCACGATATAACTCTTGAAGCCAGTCACTAGTGAGCATAGGTTGATCAATATCAGATTAATATCATTCTTGATGATAAGGATTGAGTTCTGATCAGTTGATCTGATTGCTTCATTATCGCTATTTCAAGTAAAGATACATGAGGCCTAGTAGATAAATCTAGAACCTGCAGTTTTGTCTCATTTACAACACATCAGTTGGATGTATCTAGGTCAGTTTTCACATCGAGACTCGAACCTTATACCTTTCGTTTCAGATGTCTAACGTGTTATCCTTTATGTTACTGAATGCAAATAGCCACTAATTTGTGTACAAGTTAATACACACCAATGATGAAGAATGGTTATAATTTCATGGCAACACTGATACGTGAAGTAGGATTTAAACTAAATTCCTCAATTTTTACAGCTAACGGTATCATCAATATGTTATCTTTAAACACTATGGAAATGAAGGATAGTAAGACAGTTCTTGAAAAACTAAAAAAATGAAGATTCAGTGTTTTCAGAATGTAAATAACCGGAAAGTAAGTGCTTTATAAGCAAAAATGGATAGTGGCTAGCAGTGGAATCCAGAATGCGGATTTCGTCCTCTTTGCGACTCATCGGCTGGATGTACCTGCATCCCAGAGTTAGTGTTTACTTTTGGACCCGAACACAGTACCGTTCTCTTTCAAACGCTACCGAGTTATCCACTTAGCTACTGAGTCCTGATAGGGTTCTGGGTTCGAGTCCCAGAGTGAACATCAACTCCCTAGTGGAGTCCCAAATAGAACGAAGCGCACATCCTGAATTCCAGTGCTACTCACCATCCATCTTTGCTTATCAGATAATTGATCGTAGAAACAAAACTTTTTGAAATGCAAATACTCGGGTTTACATGATAGAAAATTTATTTCTTCGCTTTGTAAATATATTTTTTTATACAAAAAAAAACCCAGTCACTGTCACATCGACCATAATAACAGATGGTCAAGATTGTCGATGACATTTATTTCTATTCCAACATGTTCAGAGGGAAGGAAGATAGAGGAGAGTATAATCGAAACATTCAATATTAAAAACACTTCTAAAAAGAACTGTATAAACATAAACGATTAGTTTATTTGTATACTCATACTACTATTAGTACTACTGACAATTGTTTGATTGTAGAAGATATCGGAAATAAACTATACAATAGACTAATTGTTATTTGTTAAATATTAAACTAAATATACTCACTTCTTCCTGAATCTGGAGGACCTATCGGTCCTAGTTCACCTTCATATACAGCAGGAGGAGATCTATTCGATCTAGACTTGGAACCGCTAAATGGTGTAAGAAAAGAATCTTGTCTAGTTGAATGATGTATACTCGGTTGTGAGGGATGTGTTCCTGATTGTTGGTGTTGCTGTGTTGGATTATACGATGATTCCATTTCATACGAACCTAAGTCAGTAGGTAAAGATTCTGTAGGATGTCGTACTGAAACTCCTTGGGATCGGTCCGTTCTATGAAAGTCATGAGGACTTTCACAGCCTACATATTTGCAAAAAAATTACTATCACATATAGATTTAGATAAATTAACATAACTCGAGGACAAATTTCATGTCTGAGTGACATCATTTATGGATTTCGTTAAAACCAGCGATAAATCGACATCAGTGATCATAAATAAAAATGACTCAGACCTTCCACAGAAAGATCCTAACTAGTACCCCCAAATGCCCTAGTACGGCCGACAGTGGGGAGAGTCCGCTCTCCCTTTCGAAATGCTCTCACATGGCCACGCGTATACAGCCTCTGCCAGGGAAGTCCTACTCACTGTCTTCTCGCACTACGGGTGTTGTTTACAAAAATGAGAGGACGGAAAGCGAACGTTTGGCGCTTTAACCGGATTCCAAACCAATGGTGCACATGGGCTCCAGTATCCTGAAGGAACAAATAGCGTATGAACCAATTGTTGGTCACCGGCTTCCATGGGGCTGCATCTCCTTACGATGCTCCACTGCCTTGTGGATCAGACCTTCAGGTCAAAGGCTCGGGGAGTGGCCCCCTAAGAGAACTACCTGCTTGGGTTTGGGCACCCGGACAGTATCACAGCCCTCACACATATCGAATCAGATTTGTGTGGCGCATATGTATTTGATACCTCCTTGTACCAATATCTATGTGTTAAAATAAATAATAAAATAAATCCTAACTAGTAGGTTTCAAACATGTGCACATTGATAATGTTTCGGTTGTTTAAACATGAATTAACTGGATTAAAAATGTGGAACGGTGCATCTCAATCGGATTGTTTGAATGTTTCCTACTGGCTGTAAAATTACTAATATTGGCTTATAGCAATTGAGTTTGTTCTCATTTAACTCAGTTAGTTAACTTATTTAGCGGACAAAGTAAACTGTACTATAACAACTTATTGTACCTTTATTATTGTTGTGCTTGTATGAAATATGTATGCTTGAACATTGCTTACCGCTTACACATGTATTCATTTTGCTAGCTTTATTATTGACGCTTTAGTTGATTCGATGATCCATTCATTTCCCTATATATATACATGTACATTTACACTCGACACACTCTACACTCTCGGTTCGCTGACTCATTCATTTGCCTCGCTGCTTGGTGGTCTGAGTTATCTGCTAATAAAACTGTAGTCGCTGTTTCTCTTTACCTTCTGATTTCAAACACCGTTGAGGATTATATGGTAACGGTTACGAGGGTGATTGGTTAATGAAGCACAGCCACTACAGGTTAATTGATTCTAGTAAATTTGTACGAACTTAATTCATTGTGTAATGAAGAGAAATGAGGAGTTGTAGCTAATCAATCTATTTGACATTAAGTAGTCTATGTGATCTCATGTGCTCCATTTGAAGAAAAAAAGATTGTTTTCATTTGAGTAAAAGTACACTAAGTAGCTCAGTGAATAACATGTCAGGCGTTTGAAGTGAAAGGTGTAGGAATATTGTCCTAATGTGCACATTAACACTAGGATACAACCACATCCAGTTGATAAGCCATAAATAGAAGAAAACGACGCGTTTGCTGGGTTCCACTGCTAACTACAAACTAGTTATACCGAGTCATCAAAATAAGGTTGTGGAGATTATTGGGTTTTATTTGAGATCATGAAACGATCAATGTTAGTAGACCATTGGGAACCTGGAATCACTGGGCCGCCGTTTATTCTTAGCATGGGACTCCTGAGTAGTGGAGTTCAACCGTACTAGGTGTGAGTCAGTTACCTACCGAAAACAATGCAATATCCTGGATTGATTGAAGTTAGACATTGGGAACGATGAATACTAGATCAGTTATCTATAGGTTAGGCATTCACGCGTAGGACCGAAGGTCCTGGGTTCGCGTAGAGCATACGGGACCGTGAATGACTACTGATGAGGAGTCCTATACTAGGACAAAACGGCAGTCCAGTGCTTCCAGATTTTCAATGGTGGTCTAACATAGATCGGTTCGTGATTTCAATTATATTGAATTGTTTATGACTTTCAAAAATACGAAACAACGACTGATTTCTTCGTTATTTTACAATATTCCCAACAAGTTGATATGTGTGCACAAACTTCAGTTAACCATGTTCATAATGACTAGAAATCCATAACTAGCTTTTCAAAGTTATGACTGATAAAATTCAGTTATTTCAGTGATTGTGACAAATATTACCAATACCATTAAATGTTGATCAAGTAACATAGAGGGATTAACTGAAGCTGAAAATACTGATCATTAGTGTAAGGGATGGTATTATGTCAAACCTGCATAGGTTATTCTAGCCTCTGCACAAATCAATCTATCCATTCTTCTCAAGCCACATTTTTACCTTATCACCTAATCGCCTATTAACCCTGACTGTTTTTATTTGAGTGCATGTTTATTCAATACTTACCCTATTCATCATGTGTCTGTAACTTATTTCGTGGATTGGTTGATGTTAAACACTATCACCATTGGATCCCGGCCCAATGGTCCAGTAGGTTAAGCGTTCGCTCGCGAGACCGAGAGCCCTGGGTTCGAATTTCGCGAGCGGGGTCGTGGATGCGCACTGCTGAGGAGTCCCACAATGGAACGAAACGGCCGTCCAGTGCTTCCAGGTTTCCAAAGGTGGTCTAACACCAATCGGTTCATGATCTCAATCAGAAACTTACTTTTGTTTGACTATAAATATTTGTTTCACGATAGGGTAAACGGAGTTGTATCACATGCCTTCTCCACTGCGCATTATTCTATTTTGCTTCGCTCTCTCCTCTTCGCTTCCCTCGCTTCATTTCTCCGATTATCTATCCAAATCACTGAGTGTATGAAGTATACGTATTCGAACTCTATTCTCGTATCTGAGTTCATTAATTCCGTTAATCACTAGCACGAGTTAAGTCAATGATTATATACGAGGTTTGCTGGCATTTATATTTCGATAGCAATCAGACAACAATCTATTTGAAGTCAAATCTCGGGCCACTAAACTAGTCTTTATCTATTATAATCATCATGGGATAATTGGTTCTGAAAGTTTTTCCCAGATAGAATCACAAGTCAATACTGAAGAGTTGTTCAGTGCTTCTTGACTTACAATAGGTCTGAAGGTAGTTAGCAATTCATCTTTTCAATCTTCATGAAACCTTTTTCACAAGATTGAACGTGATTATAGAGAATATTGATGGGTTTCAATAGAAACACAACTACTAAGGAACTACTAGTATTGATTAGGAAAATGTCTTGAAAGATACACCTTAGTATAATTCACTTGTAAGAGTTTGAGTATTCCCATGGTTGATGTTAAGAAGGATGGAAATTAGTTAACTTCTTAATAGTTGAATTCATGAACCAATGGAAGTTAGATGACTATGGAAAACCTTGAAGCCCTGTTTCGTTCTAGTATTGGACTTCTTAGCAGTGCGCATCCACGGTCCCGTCCCGTGAGATTCGAACCCAGGACCTATCAGTCTCGCTCACGAGTGCTTAACCACCAGACCATTGAGCTGACCGGCATCCAAAGGTGTTAATGTCTAACTTCGACTGATGCAAGAAATCAAGTGACATATCCACCATTGTCATCAGTGAGCTACTATCTCATAACAGACCTGGTTGAACTCCACTGGTCACTGCTTCTCACTAAAACCGGGAAATACCTCTTGAAGCCAGTCACTAGTGAGCATATCTCACGAAGTGGGATCATCGATGTGCACTCCTGAGAAGTCTCATACTAGAACGAATCGGCCGTCCGTTACTTTCAGGTTTCCATGATGATCTAGCTTCACATGACTCATGAACTTAACTATTACATTACTATAATCTTGACAAAACCTTTTTCTGATAATTATTATATAACTATTGATATTAATGAGTAAACATACCTGTATGATAGGATCCAACTTGTGAAGAATATTTTGGTACTATTGAAGTTGGTGATATATGATCAGACTGTGAATTTCTTGTTAATACTATTAAAGAAGGAAGACTATTGATTGAAGTAGGTAATTTAAAAGGTAATCTTAATATACAAGGTAATGCTAATGGTTGAATTGTATGTTCATATAATAAACTAACTAAATTAGTAAATATTGGTTCATTTGAAGATCCACGAAGTCGAACAGGTTCATGGATTACACTTAAAGCTGATGAATCCATTGGAATATTAGATGGAGGTAATAATGTGCCAGATACACCAATTGCATGATATACAGCTGATGTTGTAGATTGTAAACCTTCAATTAAATAATGTCGTATAGAATCGGATTCTTCACCTGTTTGAAATAGTAAGAAAATAGAGTAAGACTAATTAAACATATTAACCAATATATTATTAATATCAGATGGGTTTTTTGTGGAGATTGTAGTAATTTCAATGGTTAAGATCATGAGTCAGTTGAAGCTAATCATTGAAATTACTACAATCTCCACAAAAAACCCATCTGATATTAATCAAAAATATGCTCACTAGTGACTGGCTTCACGAGGTATATCCTGGAGTTCTAGTGAGAAGTAGTGACCAGTGGAGTTCAACCAGGTCTGTTGTGAGGTAGTAACTCACTGAAGATAATGGTGGATGTGTCGCTCAATTTCGTGGATTAGTTGAAGTTAAACATTAACACCGTCGGATACCGGCTCGGTGGTCTAGTGGTTAAGTGCTCGGGCGCGAAACCAGTAGGTCCTGGGTTCGGATCTCGCAGGGGGCGAGGTTGTGGATGCGCACTGCTGAGGAGTCCCACAATAGGACGAAACGGCCGTCCAGTGCTTCCAGGTTTTCCATGGTGGTCTAGCTTTAACTGACTCATGATCTTAATCATTGAAACAATATATTATTACTGAAAACTAGGGAACACTGAATAGCTATGTTGACCTAGTATGGTATGCTCCAACAGTGATCAACTACGCAAGACTATCGGTTCGGCAGTGAGCGTTTAAGCATTAGATAAATGAGACAACATTCAATAATTGACATGTTTAACTTCAATCAACCTGTTATATTGTGTAGACAACTTTCGATACCACTGATGAGTATTTAGTTCACACTCGCCATGGTCGATCTTCCATTAATCACTACTTTCACCTTAGGACATGGGGGAATTCACTCTCGAAATAAGTCAGTAGTGGATCTAGTGTAAGTAAGTATTTTTCTCTTAGAATTAAAATATGGCTACTTTATAGAAACAATGTTGATTAATAATTACTTAGATGAGTATTTAGGGGAACCAATAGAGAGTAGAAGGTACTATAGAACTGTTTCGTTCTAACTCAAAACCCTTTAATGATATACATTCACCTACCCGCATCTATTGTCTCGAACCTGTGATTTGCAAGTCATTCAGTCGGTATAATAACTTTATGTTACTTAGGTTCGTCCAATCTTTTGTGAGGTACTGGGTAAGTATGAGCCACTTGGTCATTAACTAACCCCAAGTATTTCAGTCTTACATAAGTATGGTGTTTGTATGAACTAACGATTCCTTTGTACTTGTTAATTGCTTGATTTTGAATTCCAAATACAGTACATTCGTTCATGCTTATCTAGTATTTCTTGATCCAATCGCGTTATTTCTGGGATTCCTAGTTTGTACTATAATTCAAATACTCCTAATTATCATAATAAAGTCACTCGCTGCTCAAGTAACTTAGTGACAACTTCTCAAACTGTGAAGCTAGATCACACGAGTTCCCCTAGGAGCATCAGTTCTCTCAAGATTACATGTAAACCCCACTGACGAGTGTCAAATAGCACGAAACCTCAATCCATAGTTTCCTACCGATCATCTTCAACCGTTTACTATAAGAAATATATAAGAAACACTAATTTCCTTCCTGGCTTCATTAGAATGGCTACTCTCGTAATCTGATTAAAAAGTGTCTAGCGATTCAACATACCATTAAATAGGAAAAAACCCGATTATTCTACCATACATGAAGAATAACATTGTGAAACACTTTGAAATCAACGCAAGTAAGATAACAGTGATTGAAGACAAATGAAGATGTCATTTATTCAATGAATAGCACCGTCAGCGAGAAACACCACATTGGACAAAGTGGACACGTTCATTCACACATAACATAAGATACCAATGAGGAGACATGATATGTTATCAATGATAACAATCTACATGGAAAATTCGATTGTAGAAACTGTCTAATTCTGAATAGAGGAGAATTTCTAGAAGGATGGTACAGAAACATTTATGTTCATAATATGTATTTTCTATAGTCCATCAGGACTCACTAGCTAAGCGTATAGCGTGATGGCTTTTAAAGCGGATGGCACTGAGTTTGATTCTCTAAGTGAACATCAATCCCAGGATTCAGGTACATACAACTGACGAGTCCCGAATAGGACGAAACACACGTCCTGTATTCCAATGCTAGCCACTATACATCCATCTTTGCTTATAATGCTTGTAAATTAAGGCAATATCGAGGCAATCCACAAAATATTCACATCTTTCAATAAGAGTCTGATCAACTGTAGTCCTAAACACCAATGGGAAGATTTAAACAAACAATACAAAATGGATTTATTGAATAATTTAAAATAATAAACTAACCATGAGTATGATGTCTGTGGACTTTAACTACCAGTCCAAATGAATGTGGAAAGCTTCCACTATTACGAACTACAAATGATCCAGCAGCTTCTGATCTGATTAAGTCCATTGCTGTAAACAATAAATTGAATATATAACTAATGAAATATATAGAAGAGATTTGTTAGTATTTTTCTATATCAGTCATTATCAGTGAGGTTATCAACAAAAAGTGATGTAAATTGTATAGCAGTTTTCTCCTGGCACATAAATCGTCTTCAGTATGAACTTACAATCATACCAAAAGCCGAAACCATCATCTGTATATCTTGTATCGAACACCTAAACATTTACTTAAGAGGTTAGCATTCGGTGTTGCACACTGCTTACCGCAATTCGGAATACATCATAACGATTATCTGATATTATTGATAGAAAAAGTCAGTATGGCAATGTTATGCACGAAATTCCTAATTTTTAGTCCTACTTCAACTGATATCAGTAGGTGATAAATGTCACATACAGTTTATATGAACTATCAGCACAAAACATATTCAGTGAAAATCAAAGTATAGTTGAATTTTGTACACAATAACAGGACTTCTTTTCTAAAAAGAATGTTGAATTATTCGGTTTGAAGTTGACTTTCATTGTTCGTTGTGAGTACAGATAATCTTGACTACTTACTTGAAATTTAGTGGTATACATTTCCAATTTCAGTCGATTCGTGATATGAATGCAACTGTGGTGTGTGCTACCGATGTCGACAGATACAATCAGTATATATTATCAACAGAAAATGAAATGTCTGGAGGCAGAAGGTTAAGAAAATCGAAGAAAAAAGAACGAGAACAGAGAATGATTGGTGTGGAAGCGAAGGAACAATGAAGTATTAGCCGATTGATTGGCATTTTACAAATGAAGTGTTGAATGTGTAGTGACCTGCTTTTATCAAGAGAACGCGATTGGTTTAATTGAAACAATTATTATTATAACCAATTGTACCAGTGATTGTTTTACTGACATCCATTATTCTTCCATTCTCCCTTCCGTTGATTGTGACCTCGCACGAACTTATGTTTGCTCAGTAAATCCGCTTGTACTTCTTTGGTACGATCTCGGTATTCTTTCGACACCACGAGATCACCAACAAATGTACTAAGCTACAACCTTCAATTGCCTTCTGATATTTGGTACGCAACCTTCCTGTAGCGATGATCATAGTCAATTGCGACTCGACGCCACCCTACAAATGTATGGTTCTCAGATTCTAGTAAGAGATAATGTAATTTTGTATTCAATTACATCCGACTATCCTCATTTGTGTTCTCATTCACAGCACAGTTATCATTCAGTCATTTTCGTGATATATTCTAGGTTATTAAATCGGACAAATTTGAGGAACAAATGGCGTATGAACCAATTGTTGGTCAGTGGCTACCATGGCACTGCATCTTCTTAAGTTGCTCCGATACCTTGTGGATCAAATCTTAAGGTCGAAGGCTCTGGTAACGGCCTCCTAAAAAAACCGCCTGCTTTGGTTTAGGCACCCGGGCAGTATCACAGCTAAAAAAAATCATTGACTTGTGTAATGCAGATGTATTCGGCACCTGTTATTACCAATATTTATGTGCTCAAATAAATAAATAACATTTGAGATTAGTTCATGATGCAAACACTTGATATCATTATCATTGAAGATTTGGAATTTCCCCATCCAAATAAATTGTACTATATTGATGTTTATGTTATTGTACAGTGATTCATTCTTCTCACTGCCTTTTCTTTAGGCATGATTTGAACAGTTAGGAAGTTTATGTTATAAGTTGGACAGATTTGAGAAAAGTGATTTTAGTTATAAAAGAAAGTTTTCTAAGTTTCTCATTTATACTTACCGTCATTCCGTGACATTTCAGGACGATACCATATATGAGTGGATGCTGATATTCTGCTTAACACAACTAAAGCATTATCCGGTATATGTTCTGCAATAAATGACAAGAGAAGACTATTATAATAAGTTAGTTTAGGTGTAAAGTTCGTTTTTTAATCAAAAAAAGAATTTGAGGGTCCTGGATTCGATCACCTGTGGGGTTGTGAAAATATACTACTGAATAGTTCCATACTATTTTGGGACTGCTCAGCAGTGCGCATCCACGAACCCGCGAGTGGGATCGCGTGGACGCTTAACTCCTAGACCATCGGGCTGGCCGGCATCCAATGGTATTAGTATTAACATCAACCAATCCACGAAAATGCGCGACCATCTTCCATTGTGTTGAGGTAGATACCTGCCTCTAGCCGACACACATTAGCTCCACTAGTCACGGCTTCTCACAAGAACTTTGAGAATTCCCTCATGAAGCTAATCACTAGTGAGCATATGGTAATTATCAATGTAGGGTTGTGAAGATTATAAGGCTTTTGATTGAGATCATGAACTGATTGATGTTAGACCACTATTGAAAACCTGGAAGCAATGGACGGCCGTTTGGTCCTATTGTGGGACTTCTCAGCAGTGTGCATCCACGATTCCGATCGCGGGATCACTGAACTAGCATCCAACAGTCTTTATGCATAACTCTAATCAAACCTTGAATTTAGTTAATATCAACAATCGCCACAACTCTATACTGATAATTACCATATGGTCACTAGAGCCTAGCTTCGAGCGAAAATCTTCTGAGTTCCAGTGAGAAGCCAAGACCAGTGGACCTAATCCGTGTCAGATGTGAGGCAGTTACCCATTGAGGAAAATAGAATACGGTTGTGCAAATTCGTGAATTGATTGAAGTGAAACGAAAATATCGTTGGTTGTCTGCTCAGTGGTCTAGAGTTTAGGCGTTTACGCGAGGGACTGAAGGTCCATAGTTCGTGTCTTGAGTGCACGATAGTGTTTGCATACTGCTGAAGGGTCGCATACTAGTACGATACGTAAGTTCAGTGCTTCTAGGTTTTTAACGATCGGTTCATGATCTTAGAGAATTCATCTGGAGAAAATCATCTGTAATTAACTAAAGTAGAAATGAGCGTTTTTAATTTCTCTGTCAAATCGAAAATTACTACGAAAACAATTCAGTAGCAATTAATAGTAGGTGAATTCAGACACTATTCAAACTAACTAAAAACTTGTTGCAAGACCTTCAATCAGCTAAAAGTTTAAGAAAATCATCTCATGCCTGACTTTCATTAAGATGGCTATCCATATCAATTAAATAAGCATGTTACTATTAAGATGCTTCGAAGAACTGACGCAATAACCACTGTTGTGGAACTTACTATTCCTACTTTGTTGGCAGTGGATTACTTCCACTCTTTCCTAATCACAATGACTCTTGGTTTGTTTTTGTACATTTGTTATTTTTCACCTTATGATACAATGTGGTCCACGTCGAGTGTATATAAACAATGTCTGTTTGAAATATAAGGATAGTAGAGGCTAGTTACTACTCCTAGACTCAAGTCAGGGGCATAGAAATTAGCTTGTGAATAATAGATCAGTAAGGAACTAATAGCCGGCTCAATGCCAATAGTGCTGCTGATTGATAGTGCAACTGACCAAATCAGAGATACTAAGCTACAAACGGTGAATAACAGACCAAATTAGAAAAAGGATTCTAACTGGTGACCTGGCATGTGATACTGAACAACGGGTTTAAAGACATGACACTAAAACTCCTTAAAGTAGTCGAATAGAGTGACATTATCGATTTTGTGAATATTTAATATGACACTTTCATTGAAAGGATAAAAGATTCTTATTGCGAAAACTAAAATCAACTAGGGAACTATTTAATTGTCACGATTACAACTGATAGTCAGAATTAACGAAATCAAGATATTATCATACCTAAACCACTTGAAATTGGTTGTTTTTGTCTTTGCGGTTTGTGATCTTCTGGACTTCGATATACTGGAACTTGTGTAGGTCTATTTCTTTTCGTAGTTTCAGAGGTTTTACCACGCATTGCTCTATATGGTCGTCTAACAGGTTGATCATGTGCAGAATATGAAGTACCGGGATAACATACCCGACTACTAAAACCAGCCATAATCGCTGTATCCGATTGACTACCTCCATCAATCATTTCTGATGGACGTCGAATATATCCTCTAGACGGTGGACTAACTGGTGATCGAAGCAAACGACCAGAATGTGTTTGTACTGGACTAGTACACGAGGATCGATCAATTGTAGGTCCATCGGCTAAAATGTATAAAAACAGGAAACAAACTTTTGAAATTTATTCACATAATCTTATCATTTTCTATAGTCTTAAAACAATTCCAAACATACATCCTGATTCGAGATCATGAAAGGCGACTGTTTGAAACACCAGGATCTGAATTTCGTGTTAAATCCAGGCTCATCAACAGTAAGATGAGTCAGAAAATTTCGAGAGAACTAGTAATCTTATTCAATCTCAAGGCCCTATTCTACTCAGTAGTATAGAACAACACTGTACAGTGATTGCAGCTGACTGAATCCTACTAGTGAACATTTCAATAAAATCTGAGAACCATACAGTAAATCGTTAATCTGCAAAATATCAATCGAATGTCTCAAACGTGACTGTTTCTTTTAGCAAATATCAATTCATTGTCTCAGATTTCATTGTTCGTGCATTTTCATACCAATTACTTTCCGTTTCTGTCTTTTTCTTATCGATTTTTTTTACTGAAATACACTTTATTCCTGACCATCATTACATACTAACTCCACCTGGAGTCCCTCCGGGGGCTACTGCCGGTCCCAAGCCCGGACAAAGGAGGAGGGTGGGGCATGGGATTAGCGACTTCATCCCGTGGAAAACTAACTCGCTAAAGAACGCTTACCAGAAAAAATTATTCAAACCTTTTAAACTCTGCCCTGGGAGTCAGAAAGTCTTCATTTAGGAGAGTTATGACACCTCATGATGAAAGCCGAGTTCCTTCGTAAGTCACGAGGTCGATGCCCCTTCTGACAACCAGAGCAACCATTTATTTAGGTACATGGAATACTCGTACAATGTGGGAGACCGGGAGAGCCTTCATTATATACTACTTATTAAGGTATAAGTAGCTCACACCACAATAGTACAATGTTCAACTTTCATTTAATTGTTATTACAATTGAATAGACATTGACAATAACATTGAACGTAGTTTTAAATAATCATTCAGATAATAAGATAAATTCAAATAAGCGGAAATTCAATGATTAAAAGGTTTGATATTTTTCGAATGGTTGTCATCATTTGACAATGAATTGAAAATGAGCTTAAATAAGTAGTATAATTGCTAAAGATGAATTTTTCATTGTTTCTTATTATGGTGAATGAAATCGAAAGGGAGAGACAGAAAGGAAGAAAGAAAGAAGGAAAGAAAGAAAGAAAGGGAGTTGAGTAATCAACTGAAGAGACTGAGTATTTGCCAAAGGTTTGAAATTATTAACTAAGATTTGTAATAACAATAAAATTGTCTTGTCATCTAGTTGTATTGTTTGTCAAAATTTCACTTTGATAATGATGAGGTTGTCTAACGAAAAGGAAACATTAAAAACTTTATGGATATGAAAGAAATAGTCATGTTTAAAGAATGGACATCAGTGATGTCGGTAGTTTATTTTTCAGCTATATTTTAGGCTATCGGTATTAGGCAAGGTTGCTTACTCTCACCCGTTTTCATTGATCTGGTGATCGACTAAATCTTAAAGATTTCAACATCTGAGGGGAAACACGAGGTGTAGTGGACAGTTAAGAGGCTGCTGAACGATATAGACTACGCAGATGATCTGGCTCTTCTATCGCATACGCAACAACGAAGGCGGGAGATGACGACCAATGTAGCAGCAGCCTCAGCAATAGTAGGTCTCAACATACAAAAAGGGAAAAGCAAGGTTCTCCGGTACAGAACATCATGCAACAATCAAACCACACTTGACTGATAAGATTTGGAAGATGTAAAAACCTTTGCATATCTGGGCAGCGTCACTGATGAACACGGTGAATCTGATGCAAATGTGAAGGCGCGGATCGGCAAAGTAAGAGCAGCATATCTACAATTGAAGAACATCTTGAATTCAAAACAACTGTCTGTCAACCCACATCAAGGTCATAATTCTCAGTACAAATGTCAAGACAGTTCTATTGTATGGGGCAGAAACTTGGAGAACTACAAAAACCATCATCCAGAAGATACATGTGCTCATTAACAGTTGTCTATGCAAAATGCCTCTGATCCGTTGGCCAGACACAATCAACAACAACCTACTATGCAAGAGAGAACAAACCAGATTCCAGTGGAGGAAGAAATAAGGAAGAAGTGCTGGAAGTGGATAGGCCACATATTGAGGAAGGCACCCAATTGCATCAGAAGGCAAGCCCTGACTTGGGATCCTCAACGCCAAAGAAAAAGAGAAAGATCAAAGAACACATTACACCGAGAAATGGAAACAGATATGAGAAGAATGAGCAACAGTTGGATAGGAAAGCTCAGGATAGAGTGGGTTGGGAAATGCTTGGAGTAAGTATATAATATTTTAGGCTAAACAATTCTATATTTTGAAGCATTAGTTCAACAGAGATGACAATGTACACAATACATAAATTTTGGTGTCCTGCATAAATATCTGGGCTACCTGTTCCCTGCCATCTAGATATTTCAACAAGTTGCCTGTTTTTTGTTTTAACACATCATTATTTCTATTAGCCTCATAAACGATTCAGGTGCATTTATCAAAAGTTCTCGACCTCTCACTGTACAAGTTACAAAAAAGCCGAATCAGGGACAACGTATTTGCTGACTGTTATAACTTGTGGGCCTTATGCCCCTATCAATATATGACATAATGTTATTACCAATTAGAGAACAGTGGATTATTTACCGGACCAATGACGAGCAAAACCCTTATCGACCGTTCTTCCTGCCTAACCTTGCCCGTAGAGTCCAGAACACCAATCTCAGCCTCCGAGATATAAATCATGTATTTCAAACATACTGATTTTACATACAAACCAAACAGTCCACATTGTGATATGAAATCGAAAATACACATATGTACAAGATCCAGCCAACAGTGGTTGTGAACGTAGGAAACTGTAATGAATAGACCGGGCGTAACTCAAGAACGGGAGATTGTATAATAATAGTCTGTAGATCAAAATAAACCTTATGATAAGAGGAACACGAATAAGAATCAATTCCTGAACTGCACGGAGAACACTAAACCAACCACACATGATGGAGAAGCTCTGCAAGATGTGGAATATTTCACATACTTATGATGTATCACCGATCAACAAGGAGGATTGGATGCAAACGTAAAGGCGAGGATTGGCAAAATGACGGCCGGATTCTTACAGTTAATGAACATATAGAACTCAACCAATATCAAAGTCACAATCTTTAATATGAATTTCAAGACAGTTAATTCTGTTGTACGGAGCTGAAACTTTGAGGACCACGACAACCATCATCAAAAATGTCCAAGCATTTATAGACAATTGTCTACACAAAATACTCAATGTCCATTGACTGGATACGATCAGCAGCAACCTACTGTAGAAGAGAACAAACCAACTTTCATATGAAGAGGAAATTGGGAAAAGACGTTGGAAGTGGATAGGACATACATTGAAGAAATCATCAAACTGAATCACAAGACAAGTGCTAACTCGGAATCCTGGGTATAAACGGAAAAGAGGAAAATCAAAAAAACAATGTTGGAGAATGCTAATGGACGGCCTATGCTCCTCCAGAATGAGTGACAGGCTTAAGTAAACAACTAAAATATCACTTCTCATATACATTGTTAAGTAACATATGATTACTTTGAAAAGTTAGACCGATAACATCATTATCCAGTAAAAGATTATCTCGATCACGCAGCGGCATGAATCAAAGTCTGGAATAGAAAGATCTTTATTTATTACTGGATGATCTAACCTTAATTTTTTGTGGTTAGAATGAATCACTTACCAACTGGTTGTCTTGACCATTGCTCGTCATAACTTGAATGTCCCCAGAAATGTCTGCAAAACATGAAAAAAAAGCAAACTAATTTACAGAGAACGATTCAAACAAAGTGTTTCGTGTTATGTTTCTAAGATTGACATACACATAGAATAGATAGGTTGTTGCTAGTAGTGATATCCAGGACCTGCATTTTGTCCCATTTGGGACTCATCACCTACACATACCTGCATCACAAATTCGATGTTCCCTTTGAAATCTGAACCCATTCCCTTTTGCTTCAAACACTCGATGCGTCACCCAGTTAACTAGTGAGTCCAGATAGCCACTCATATTTGTAACAGCCATAAATCCTAGTTCATTTTAGAACGGTTTGGGTTATTATTTTCTTTGCAAATCCCTGGAAAAGAACTGGTTATATATGCCTTCAGAATTTAGGTATTTTTTGACTATGTTAAAGTAGGCTGTCGAACCGGTAAGTGCCAATATGACTTGTTCAGGATTTGGAGCCACATATTATTGACTAAGGATGCTGATGACAAAGCATATTATGAACAGTTGCATTGATGCAAACGTAATAAACAATATTCAACATATTGGATTGTTATAAAACCGTTCATCAACAACTTTGGACATGAGATCAGTCAGATATAATCAATGTGGGTGTGTGTGTACGAAGAAACATTATAGATTCACATTATTGGAAAGTTAGAGGATGGAATTCACTTTTGCTTCTGAGACCACTCCTAAGAAAAGTCAGACAGTTGTGAGTTGTTAGGCGAAGAAGTCAGTTTGAAGCAGTTTTTCTGTTCTGTTTGAAGTTAAGATGCAGACGAATCATGTTATTTCGAATGTGCTTGTTCATTGAGAACCAAAGTCAACACTCCATTTGATCCATCAGAAGTATCAAAATAATATGCTGTGCAATAGATGAAGTACAACAGAAAAATATCCACTGAAATCACAATCAACGTTATGTGCCAACGGTATGAAGAGAGTTGTTAAAGTAGATATAGGATCCGTTTACATAGTTATTTGTAGTCGTATAAAGGTCTGAATGGAAAGATGATTTAGGATCGTATCGAAAGTTTTCTTTTTTATCGAATGTTCCTTAACCTCAATAAAGAAATGTCTTAGAATTATTCTGATTGGCTAAATCTACTCCAAGTGAGTTTGAAAGTCAGTCAACTCAAGGTAACCTGTGTAATTTGACTCAATCTGGTTACTTAACTATTCTTTCATATCACATATCTTTTATGTATTTATAAATTAGTTGGAACACAATATGGTTGTTGATACTTTATTGTCATGAGTTATATTGATGATGATTGGTTTGGAAGACAGTAGTTTGTTAATTTGTGCCTTGACGATTATGAAAACAATTGTTAATGGAACATAGATTGGATTAAAGCACGTTCCAAGCACAATTGTGTCGCTGCACACTGATTGGCTAATTCTTAACCAATCAGCGCTAACCGACACCTGAAGAACACCCTAGAGTCTTCTCATATAAAAACTATAGTGTTTTTCCTACTGTGCTTCTTACTTCCATCTAACCTTGTTATTTGGAATATAATCTCTTTCCTGTTCAACCGTGTTCTGATTTGGGGACTTATCGAGTGAACTGGTGTCCAAGATTACTGAGCAATAGGAATAACTGGTTTATAACAAGAGAGAAATATAACAGTGGTGATGAGGAAAAAGGGAAACAAATTCGGCGAGACTCTAATTTAGGGACGACCTTTGAACGGATCTTAAATGACCTTGACAATTATTAGCCAATCAGAAGACAGTTAGTATAAAGTGAGAATACATTTTAAGAAAGTAATGAATTACAGTGGATATTCTTCTTTTACATGATTTAAAACTCGTTAAGGTTTGATAAAGGTTCAGAGGTTCTGAATTCATAATGCATATGGTGTAGAAACTCGTCCATAGGGTTAGGGTTTAGGGTTAGGGTTAGGTTAGTGTTAGGGTTTAGGGTTAAGGTTTGGTTGGGGTTTAGGGTTAAGGTTAGGGTTAGGGTTAAGGTTAGGGTTAGGGTTAAGGTTAGGGTTAGGGTGCTAATATACGATCGGTTTACAACGGATTTTAGAGAAGGCGTGTTTATTGAGAGGCTACAACCCTAACCCTAACCTAACCCTAAACCCTAACCTTAACCCTAACCCTAAACCATAACGCTAACCTAACCCTAAACACTAACCCTATGGACGAGTTTCTACACCATATGCATTATGAATTCAGAACCTCTGAACCTTTATCAAACCTTAACGAGTTTTAAATCATGTAAAAGAATAATATCCACTGTAATTCATTACTTTCTTAAAATGTATTCTCACTTTATACTAACTGTCTTCTGATTGGCTAATGATTGAAATAGCTCAAACGCTTCTGATTGGCTTGTCCCTAAATTAGAGTCTCGCCACAAATTCAAGATGCCCATATCAGATAACTAGCTCAACCGAATACCACAACAATCCATGTACCGATGAAGAGTAGTGATTTATCTTAAATTCAATAGAAGTACATAATTCTTTATTATAAAGAATAAAAGTTGAGGAAATTATACACAGATCTTGATAACCTGACCGGACAAACTGTAGATAATGGTCAAGTCTACTTAGTAAACGATAACAAAGTTTTGTAATCCTCTATGATCAATAATCATCAGGGTAACATGAAAAGATGAGATAATGAGGAAAATTTGTAGATCTAGTGAATAGCTCAAATGGAGTTTCGTTTACAGTGATGGTTAGTTAGTTCGATTGTGAAGTTCTCATCGTCTTCCTGAACAACACCATCAGTATATTCTTCAAGTAAAAGTAAGTTGTTCGAATTTCTTCACATAGTCCTGTCGACTTTCATTGTGATCAGTCACGGTTGATCTTCATTGTCTGTATATTTATCTCTCATTCTGACCTGGTTCTTTATCTTTTAATTATCCATGATGTTTTTAGTCAGTTGATGAATTGAGTCAATTTTGACTTGTTCATTGATTACCGATTGAGCTATCTACCAATTCACTGATCTTCTTCATATATCATCTGGCGGCAAGTTTGCCAATTTCCTAATAGAATACGTGTTCACAGTTGTCTACATGAATTGGATGATATAAGCAAAGATATGTCATGGTATTTGACAGCCAGTTGGTGTTCATTCACATGAAAATGTAGAATGTTTCAGCTTGTAGTATTTCCCGCAATTGGAACAGTTAATTTGGTAGATGATGTTCAGTTTTTCTTTTCTCAATTCATCTTTTGTTTGCATAAGATTGACTCCAAACAGTATCAATAAACTCGTTTTAATTTCTGATATGTCATTTATATAAGATAGGATGTTCGGCTTATTGATTTATACACTAAACAAAGTGATTGCTCTCTCTATATATCCATTAGTAGGTAACTGTCTCATAATCGACATAATCGAACTCTACTAGTCATGGCTACATCATCAGACCTGAAACTACCCCCTCCCCCAAATTAAGTAGCCGCTATCAAACAAGTATATGTTTTTTTATCAGTATGGAAAGAATGTGGAGATGGTTACCAGAGTAATTACAGCCTGTTTTTAACATAGTTCAATCGAAATATCACATGGTAAAATAGAAAAACAACATGATGATAGGTGTATCTGAGGTTGACTTACGATCTTTTAGCAGGGGACATATAAGTTAATCTTGATTTTGTATATGGTCCTTGAGTTTGATAAATTGTCGGAGATCCAGAAAATGCTCTTCCTCTAGTTGGTCCACCTATAAATGTATTCATGGAAAATGGTGATAAACACTGGGGGCAAAACTTATAAGTAAATTTATGTACTGTAAGTAATGCCATGAAGATAGTGAAGCTCTTGACTCACCGTATATATTAGTTTAGTTTTTCGTTATATAATCTCATTATGTATATATCGTAACTTCTTATGGTTTCATTGATATCTAAAAATCTGTGAGTTTTTGAATCAGAAGAAGGATAATAATGGGACGTATTCTGTTTACTGTCGACATTTTTTGATTGGTCGTTGAGAATTAAAAGAGCTTCTAAACCAAGAGGCTTCAAATTTTTCCGTCAGTATTCATAGTCATTGAGGTTATTAGTCAAAGAAATGAACATTAGTCTAATCGCCTCAAAATGCCCTGGTACGGCCGAGAATGAAGAGATTCAGTTCTTTCTCTTCAAATGTTCTCACATGGCTTCGTATATACAGACACTTGCAGTGAAGTTCCAATCACAGACTTCTCACGGCATTACTGTTATATACAAAACTGAGGGGCAGAAAAGCGACTGTCCAGCGCTTTAATCGGGTTGGTCGGTACGGAGGATCTATCTAGGGGAGTTGAAAAACCCTGATTCCAAACCAATAGTGTACACGAGCTCCAGGATCTTGAGGGAACAAATGGCGTACGAATCTATTGTTGGTCACCAGCTGTCATGGGACTGCATCTCCTAACGTCGCTCCACTGTCTTGTGGATCAGACCGCTAGACCATTTATACAGTTATTTTATAATTTGAAACAATTTGTATTCAGTAGTGACATCATCGACATGAAGTATAATGGAGTAAACTTGTAGCTCAGATGGATGATCTTCGTGAACGTTTCGACTACAAACGTTTTATTGTCCTCTTGAACAACATCGTCAATCAAGCTAACCATGCAAACAATGACAACAATAATCCAACAAGTGTAATGTATCAACAAGACAAACTGTCAGTCAGTAGGTGGTAAATTCTAATAGCCTTCTATTTCAAATCTATGCTACTTAATATTTCACTGATTGAAATCATGAATCAATTGAAGCTAGGACACCATGGGAAACTTAAAAGAACTGGGCGGTCGTTTCGTTCTAATATGGGACTCCTCAGCAGTGCGCGTCCACGATCCCGCCCCCCGTGAGATTCGAATACAGGGCCTATCAGTCTCGGGCCAGGCCGACTAACCAACTAGACCACTGAGTCGGCATTCAACGGTGTTAATGTCTAACTTCAACCAATCCACGAAGTTGCGCCACCGTACATCATTGTCTTCAGTGAGTTGATTTCTCACAACAGACCTGGTTGAACTCCACTGGTAACGACTTCTCACTAGAACTCCAGGAGTATCTCTTGAAGTCAGTCACTAGTGAGCAGGTGATTATTATCAGAAGGGGTTTTGTGAAAATTTTAGAAATTTCAATTGACTCATGATTTCAATCAGTGAAATTTCTAAAACCTCCACAAAACCCCTACTTAATATTGTCTAACAGGACTATGAAGACTTCACCATTAAATCATCCATGTCAGGAAAAAAGAACTTCACCAAAACAAAAACCGAATTTTCAAAGGATTATTTAACAACTTACTTGTTATTTGATTGGATGCTTCAACTGGAGAATGTACAACTTGTATCCTTGGCTATTAAATTCAATTAAAACAGTTACATTTGTAATATCAAGGTGATTCATTGAAAAAACAAAGTCGTTTTAATGAAATAATGAAAATGAACAAAATAGATTAGTTCATAATATCACTGAATGAATTGAATTACGTAAACATTAGTAACTATATTGTATAGGAATAGTGAACATATTCAGACTTAATATTGATAACTATTATGTAATCATTTAAGCAAAGATGGATAGTGGCTAACAATGGAATCCAGTTTGACTCGCATTTCGTCTTATTTGGCACTTGTAAGTTGGATGTACCTGCATCTCAGAGTTGTTGTTCACTCTGGGACTCGAACCAAGTACGGTTCGCTTCAAACGACAACGCATTATCCACTTAGCTACTGAGTCCTGATAGCCACTTATTTGTGCAATCGGTTGAAGTTTTAAACTCACTTGGTATTGTTTATTTGAATCTTCTCATTGATATAAAGGACTGCGATTGATCAGTCTCTTATTGACATATGATCATCCTGGATAACGCGATAGCGTTTGAAGTGAACAGCGCTGGGTTGGAGTCCCCGAGTGGACATCAACTCTGGGATTCATGTACATCCAACTAACGTGCACCAGATAAGATGAAATGTGCGACCTGGATTCCACCGCTAGACACCATCCACCTTTGCTTATAAATTTTGTGAATTAAGGCAATATCGAGGCAATCCCCGCACAGGATGCACATATACCAATAAGAGACTGATCGATGGAAGTCCTAAATAACAATGAGAAGATACAAGAGAAACAACACTAAGCAAATTTATTATGTAACCATTCACAGTATTATTCTTTTGTGTATGTGCTTCATCCATCTGCTTTGTCGTAAAATTTTTTCACAATAGTTTTCTGGATGAAGATTTACAGAAAGGCAACCTCATTTATAGGTTTGATCATTTCGACTAGTGTTAACTGGAGTAGTACTAGTGTAGTGTGTGCTATTAATGTCGATAGATATAAGTGGTATGTCTTATCAATTGAAAGTGGAATGCCTAGAAGCAGAAGTTTGAGAAAAGAGAAGAGAAGAGAGTGATTGGTATGGAAACGAAGGAACAACAATGAAGTCAGAGACAAATGATGGATATGTTACAAATGAAGCATTTACTGTGTGGTTGACAGATTTTAAGATACATTTGGTTGTCACCACTGGTGTTCTCATTCATTACACCGGAACTCTGAAAAAAATTTATGAAAAAACTCATGTTTCCTTTAGCTGTGGTAATAAAACCTAAAACATACAAATGAATCAATCACTATCGAGAAAGTAATTTCCAAGGACATGCCTCAAATAGAAAACTGGCCTGTTCTTTATCAATCTTATTATGGTTAGTTTTAATGAATGGAACATCATTTAGTACGTACAAGGCATTAAGTTGTTGAAAAACATTCATTAGTTTATATAAGAATGAAATTATTGTGATTCTATACATGATGGAGTGGTATTTCATCGCAATCTCCGTTTGGGGGTAGATTTGAAAGTCGAAATAGGGTGAGGATTGGGATTAAGTCTTATTCAGGGTTATAGTTAAAAGTAGGGTTTATGGTTTGCTTTTGATAAAGATCATGAACCGATTGATGCTAGACCATGATCGAGAACTTGGAAGCACTGGACGGCCAATTCGTCCTATTGTGGGACTCCTCAGTGGTGCGCACCCACGATCCCGCTCGCGATATTACAACCCAGGGCCTTCAGTCTCGCGTGCGAACACTTAACCTACTGGACCACTGAGCCGGCATTCAATGGTGTTAATACCCAACCTCAACCAATCCACAAAGTCGCGCGACCATTTTCCATTGTACTGAGGTAGACATCTGTCTCTACCCGACACGGATTAGCTCCACTGGTCACGGATTCTCATTAGAACTCTGAGAATTTTCTCACGATGCTAGTCGCTAGTGAGCACATGATAATTATCAGTATAGGGTTGTGGAGATTGTTAAGTTTTTGATTGAGATCATGAACTGATTGATGTTAGACCACCATTGAAAACCTGGAAGCACTGGACTCGTGCGCGAACGCCCTGGGTTGGAATCCCGCGAGCGGGATCATGGATGCGCACCACTGAGGAGTCCCACAACAGGACGAAACGGCCGTCCATTTCTTCCAGGTTTTCAATAGTGGTCTGACATCAACCGGTTCATGATCTGAATCAAAAACTTAACAATCTCCACAACCCATAAAGTGATATTTATGATTAGTGTTAGAAGTTGTGATTCATATAAACTAACCCTGAGTCCTAAGCCTGAACTTTGATCATAAGCCCAAACTATAACGGTAAAGAACATATTGTCAACCTAGAAAAGTTTTTAATTGATGTAACGTCAGATCTCGTGCCTTTCCATTAAAGAAAACAACTCAAAGTTTCAAGATCGTTCAATAGTGGATATGTGAAAAAGGACGAAAGCAGTTGATGTAACTTTATTCGATTATTTTTTGTAAAATGAGAATTATTATATTACTCTTACTATCCATGAAGTATCAATAACATTGTACGATTATTGGAACTTTATTTAAAAACCATATGAGGTTCTTTATAATGATCAATACATATTTCAAAGATGACCAATATAATCTAAGATAAAGCATCTGAGAGTTGAATGAGCAAATGATCATGAGTGTCTTTAATGAATTACTCGAGTATTTTGGGACTATCGAGTGTATACTACTGAGGTTAATCACAGGGAAAGGATTACAGTTCGGTTGATGAATCAGTGAGTTTTCATCGACTGAGGTGGTTAAGATACACTCTCGACCACCAACTACATCGACGGGGAATGTTATTTAACATAGGAGTATACTAAAAAAAAGATAGGAACGCCCAACATAAGATGTGTCATCAGCCCATGATATTATTGATAATTGAACTAAACTATGTAGACAGCTGAACATTAGTTGATTGGTATTCGAGCGATCAACTTAACCAATGAATGAAGCTATTGCATAATATGCTAAAGAAACATTCTAAAATGAGAAGGTCCATTCACTCTTTGTTTTACCTTAGATTTTGAGTTCCAAAATCTTCCTATACGATTTTCTCCTTTCTATGCTAAAACGTTTTTTCTACAGCCAATATATTTTAATGTAATAATCTAATCTGACAGCTAGAATCAATGCATATTTGTGCCAGGTTCTATGTAGCATTTGGTTAACCAATTCATTACTGATTGAAACTGTTATTCACTAACAATAGAGTGTAATTGTCACATTGTATGTATAGAGAATCGACTCAAGGTAGTGTAATGTCGGTTATTATGTTAAGCCCATATACCTTAACTCTAGGTTTCGGACAGACCATTTCATTCATTTTGCTTAAGTCACATTTTGACCTTGTTATTTATTCGCTTATCAATCTTGACTGTTTTTATATGAGCGCGTAGGTATGTGTACACTTCTTATCCCTTTACTCATCACATGTCTGTAACCTACTTTTGTGTAACTATAAATATTGATTAACGTTTGATTAAAGGGGAGTTGGCTTGCCCACCGTCTCCACTCCGAGTCGTTTCTCTTCTCTCTATTCCATTCGCTTTATATACAAAATATATGTATTCACAAGTCCATTCTCGTTATTCGACCTATCTAAATCCGTTATTGACTAACGCGATTTACGTCGATGATTATAGACGAGGATAGGCGATAACAAACATTCATACGATCTAATTGGAGTCAGATCCACGGGCCGCTAAAGTGGAAAGCCCTTTCAACAACATTGTTTGATCTAAACGACGACGAAATAAAGGGCCCAATAGTAGACATATAGAACGTTGCATCTCAACTAACTGATCTAAAAGTAAACTACTCCCCTCAATATTTGAAGATCTTTGGTTAGATTCATGGGTGATTTCATATTGAAACACTGATTAGAAGTTTTACATTAGAAGAAAACATCTCTCTATCTACTATGCCTTAATTATCAATATCTCATCAGAGAAGCTATCTCATACTTATATCAACTTCATTCTGTTTATGCAAAATGATTACGAATTACTTTTCCCCGAAAAAGAACCTACCCGTCTTGGAAATAATTCCGAGTCTTCATTTTGTTCACCTAGATTATGGTAATACAAAAGAGAATAAAGATGTTTTTTTTTAATGTTCGTATTGTTTACTAGAGTATGATATTCTATCAGGCTTTACTTTATTTGGGCGAATAATACGTTTCAATAAAGTTTACATGCATATCAATTGAGCAAGACAGTCATGCTTAGAAGCAAACCATTTCATCTATACACATAGACATAGACATACGGGCTCAATCTTACCGTATGACATAATAATATCAGATAATGGACTAATATCTCGATATGAACTATCATGTTCATAAGGATGTAAGACAGGATGATATGGATAGTATGTGGATTGTAAAGAATAGTCAAATTCATGAATACGAGAACGAGGAGGTGGAGTTGGGGGAAGAGTTGTTTTCCGTTCGAGATCCATGTATGGAAATGGTAAATTCATTGGTGAAACTGTAAAATAAGTTTTTATTATTTACATATTGAAACTTGTATCAAGAAGTGATCAATCATTAATAATCGAATGAAAACAGACCAATAACACTGAAATAGTGTTCAACTTAATTATTATAGAAATACAACCGATAACAATCAACCAAGTTGTATAGCATGTAATTCAAGCGACACTTAAGCATACATTGTATATTTCAATGGTTAAGATCATGAGTCATTTGAAGTTAGACCACTATGGAAAACCTGGAAGCACTGGACGGCTGTTTCGTCCTGCTGTGGGACTCCTCAGCAGTGCGCATCCACGACCTCGCCCCCTGCGAGATTCGAACCCAAAGCCTACTGGTTTCGCGCGCGAGTACTTAACCACGAGATCACTGAGCTGGCCGGCATCCAACCGTGTTAATGTCTAACTTCAAATAATCCACGAAATTGTATATCATATTTTATTTGAACACATAAATATTGGTACAAAGGAGCACCGAATGCATATGTGCTACACAATTCACTTGATTTGTGTGAGGGTTAGAATACTACCAGGATAATCAAACCGAAGCAGGTGGTTTTCTTAGGCGGCCACAATCCGAGCCTTCCACCTAAAGGTCTGATTCACAAGGCAGTGAAGCAACGTTAAGATATACAGTCCCATGGAAGCGGGTGACCAATAATTGGTTCACACGCTGTTTGTCTCCTCAGGATCTTGGAGTCTATGTGCACTATTGATTTGAAATCATAGTTCCCCATTTCCCCTACATTGATCCTCCGTGCCAACCAACCCGATTAAAGCTTCGGACATTCGCTTTTTGTCCTTTCAATTTCGTAAACAACAGTAATACCGCATTTTGGTGAATAACACTGTATAGTAAATAATTATGTAACACTTTGTGTCTGTGAAGCGTAACCTTTAAAAGGGTGCTATATATTTGCACTGGTTGTTAGTGTTTTTATGCCGCTGAACCTGTCAGGTGAGTGATGATCAGATTTAGTAAATTTGTGTTTGCAGAACTAATTTGTACATGTTTTTTGTAGTGAGAGTCTATGTTCGATTCCCTCATTAAATACCAGTTTTGTTCAATTACAGGTATCCCATGCTGATATATTCTAAACAGTTGCAAACTTAGGTGTGCGGCATTTTCTCTCGATCAATTATCTGACCTTTATGTTGTTCTGATTGAGAAACTTTTTAAACGCGTGACTTTGACTGATACATCGATTTTGTAATGAATAAATCAAATGTACGATTAACTGGTTAGTGGATAGCGAACAATGCCATGTTTCACTGAAATCATGAACCGATTAGTGTTAGACTACCATTGGAAACCTAGGAGCACTGAACAGTCGTTTCGTCCTATAGTGATGCTCTTCATCAGTGCTCATCCACGATCCTGCACGGGGTAGTTGGTCTCAGATCTCCACAACCCTGTATTGATAATGTCATGTTTGTATAGTTCTATGTTGATCTATATTAAATTACTGATCAGTGAATCTTTTAATTTCCTCATAATTAGGACTGTTACCCATATCACTGATTATATTAATGCAATATCACCTCCCAGACTTAAATTCTCGAAATTTATTTTATCCTTATGTTGACAGACTTTAGGATTATATAGAGACGAGAAGACATAAAACGTCAAAGCGGTTGAAGAGTCTATCTTCCAAGAACTTTCAGGTACAATAATAATAATAATAATAATAATAATAATAATAATACTGTTACCTGGTATAGTGGGACCAGTGAAAGCTTGACTAGACCCGTCAACTACATGACCAGAACGTTGTTGTTGTCCAACAATACGTAATGGAATATCACCTGCATCTTGTAATCCCATCTCAGAATCCGAGTAGATTCTTCGACTTTCCGGTTTTCTAGATAATCTTTGTTCTAAAATGGCCAATAGAGCTGAATCTTCATCTGTAGGTTGAAAAAAAGCCAAAATTCCATTTCAAAATATAAATCTATTCAGAAAATAATCGTAATTAAGTAAACGCTTACAATATTAGTTACTAAGATAAGTGATTAGACATTGAATGCAAGTGGAGGGAAATCAAAAGATGAAAGTTACATACTAGTTCGTACACGTTATCAACGTAATGTATCCCACCAACGTTTGCTTCCCTGAACATTTTAATCAGCATCGACAAGTGTCACAATCTGATACATTATCAGTGATCTATTCAGTTAGCTCCTAACCCATAAGCAAACAAAGATATCTTCTATAGACTTGTTATTGCTTTCAAGTTCCATGTGCTCATCGAATTCCTTTTTTATTTTCGAATTTTCAATTCACGCTTATAATCACATAGCAACCAAAGATTGATGCCAAAACTTTAGATCTCACAGAGAACATGATATTTTTAATCTTACTTAATTACGCCTGTTACACCATGTGGAGGAGAATAGGCCATGTACCAGTATTATCCAACCAACTTTGTTCGGGGCAATTCTATCTAGTTTTTATTCATTATTTTGATGTCTGATTCCAATTCTCGACACAGTGTGTTCTATGGCCTTTCTCTTTTCCGTTTGCATTCAGCATTCCAAGTTAGCGCCTGTTTTGTGATGCAGTTTGATATATGTCCTATCTACTTCCATCGTCTTTTCCTAATTTTTTTTCGACTGGAAGCTGGTTTGTTTTCTTGCACAGTAGATTGTCCCAGATGGTATCCGGTCAATGGACATTGACTATTTTGTGTAGACAATTGTTTATAAATACTTGTACCTTTATGATGATGGCTGTAGTAGTTCTCCACATTTCAGCTCGGTAATGTCTTGACCTTTGTATTCAAGATTGTGACTTTAATGTTTTTCTGACAGTTGTTTTGAGTTGCACATGTTTTTCAACCGTGGGAACGCTGCATATATTTTGCCAATCTCTGTCTTTACATGCCCATCAGATCCTCCTTGTTCATCGATGATGCTGTCCAGATACGTGAATGTTTCCACCACTTCCAGAGTTTCCCCATTAAGTGTTACTATGTTGGTATTCTTCATGTTGTATTTAAGGATGTTGATTTTTCCGTTGTGCATGTTGAGGCTTAATGTGCTGAGGCTACTGCTACACTGATTATCTTCACCTACATTTACTTGCGTGTATGGGATAGAAGAGCAAAGTCTCACTTGATTACAATTCAAAGATTCCGATGTATGATTGATCAACTTTGATTTGTTAAGTTTCACTATCAAACCTAACACAATCTCAATAGTTGAGATCATGAGTCAATTGAAGCTAGACCACCATGGAAAACCTGAAAGCACTGGATGGCCGTCTCGTCCCATTATGGTGTTCCTCAGCAGTGCGCATCCGGTGCTTCCACGGTTTCCATGGTGGTCTAGCTTCAATTGACTCATGATCTCAACTATTGAAACTAATACAATCTTCACGAAAACCCCTTCTGACACTAATGCAATCAGCTTCGTTTAAGAGGGAGAAGGTATTTGTGAAATCTCAACGAATGAATTTGAAGTAAATCCAACGTTTCGCCTGGCAATCTAGTTCAAGCTTTTTTCAAGGATGATATTTCCTTGTCTCACATCAACTTGGTGCCCAAATACAGTGAAACTATTCGATCAAATTTAGACGAAAGTTCTTATTTATTATTCTGGAATCACATCAAATTATCAAAGACAATCTATTTCAGTTTAAACAATCGGATAGTATATCATAATGTCTTACATTAAAAGTGTACCTTCATCCGAAGGTATACAGAACTATATCTAATAATGAATTATTAATAGTGATAATAACTATTGTAAAGATTAATCAATCATGAACGTACCAAGATCTGATCCATAAGCATCACCATACGGATAATGACCACCACTGCCAAGTGGTACTCTTGCTGTATCAGCTAGAAAAAATGTGAAGAAAGAAAGATTTAACAATTAAAACTAGAGATGACATAAATGTTCATTAATTTGATTTGTAACACTTTGAATCAGTACAGTAACATAATACAGTAACTTAATTGACATTTTACATTAGTTCAATACATGCCAATCCTGCCATGGTTTTCATGTTCGAAAATGATGTAGATCATTCTGTCTTATTTCTCAATAGGGTTTTGACGAAGCGAAATGGTGGATCCTCAAAAAGATTTGTGTGACGTTTGGAGTACTGCTTGGACACCCAGACCGAAGCAGATGGTTTTCTTAGGGGCAACACCCGGAGCCTTTGACCCAAACGTCTAATCCATAAGACAGTGGAACAGCGTTCAGAGATGCAGTCTCGTGGTAGCCGGTGGCCAATACTAGGTTCGGAAGACATTGGTTCCCTCAGGATCCTGAAGCACATGTGCACGATTGCTTTGGAATGAGGGTTTTCCAACTCCCTTAGATAGACTCTCCGTATCCGCCCACCCGGTTTAAGCATCGAACAGTCACTTTTCGTCATCTCAATTTCGTAAACAACACCCCTGCCATGAGAAGGCAGTGAGTAGGACTTCTCTGGCAGTGGTTGTGTGCACATGGCCATGTGAGAGCATTTGAAGAGGAAGGGCTGACTCTTCCCACTCTCGGAGGTACCAAGGCATTTGGGAGCGTGAAAAAACAGACATTTAGCTTGCTAATTATTAAATGTATGATTTCCTTCTCCTTTATTTATTGCTACTCTGAATTCACTGAATGTGGTTGCATGTAATTGTGTGAAACTGATCAGTTTCTAGGGTTTATTCTAAATCTTTGTTTGTGATCATGAATCGAGCATCGGATATGACGTGATCCAATCTGTGTATGGCGTATAAAATCTATCACTAGAATTATTATCGTAGTATATGTAGTATCTCATACAAGAGAGAAAAATATAATAATTCCTGTGTTATAACCGCAAATCATAACTAACCTGACCCAGATCGACCAATTGCATATAAAGGTCTATTACGATTTCTAAGACGTGCATCTTCACTAGTTGATATACGTTTAGTAACTCGACGATAACTTTCTAGAGGTGTTAATCCAGAAGTACCAACAGCACTGCCACCACTACCAGTCGTAGAACGTCCAAATTGTTCTAATTTTGAAAGACCAGCTCGTCGATTACGAATATTTTTCAATTCTTCAAATAATTTCCTTTCTTGTTCATTCAACAATGAACGTGTTCTCTGTAGATCAATTCTTCGTCTTTGTTCAGCTTGCCAAGATGGATCATTCAATAAATCAGTTTGTGCAATATCACCAATTAATCCTTAAATTTTGAGTATATAAAAACAAACATTTTTTGTGTTAGGGCGTAAAGATAGTTTCCAACCAGAAAACTGATATTTTAGAAAAAGAATTGATGGAAATATGCTTCACTGACCTAAATTAGCTCCTCATGGTTTTAGCACGACAATCAGTTTGAGATGATGATTCATGTTGTGTTATGTAGTGTCCGATTCCAATACGGATACACTGAGCTCCGATACATTGGCCCAACCGGCTATTTCAGTAAGAAGAGACCTCGGTTTTTGCTAACCGAATTGGCGTGCCCAAGAAATCCAAATATTTTGTTGACTAATCACTCAATGTTTCAATTAACCTTATCATGATGAAATCAATCTATATATGGTGTAATGTGGTCCACTGTGTTTGTATATTAAAAATTTCTGATTGAAATATAGGTGAAGTAGAGACTGGTTACTACTCCTGGACTCAAGTCGGGGGCATAGAAAGGAGCTTGTGAATAGTAGATCAATAGGGACCTAGCTGTCGGCTCTGGGTTAATAGTGTTGGTAGGGAGTGTAATTGATCAAGTGAGAGACATAAAACTTTAAGAAAATATTCAATGAGAAATAGACCAAATTAGAATTAGGAGTCGGATTGTTGACTTAACACGTAATATTGTTTGGAGGGTTTCAAGACACAATCCTTATTGACTAGTTTCAAAAGATGATTTTACAGTCACTGACGATCTCCAATGGTAAACGTTTTCCGATTAGCACTGGAATCCATGACGCACGTTTCGTCCTATTCGGGACTCGTCAGCTGGATGTGCCTGCGTCTCAGAGTTGTTGTTCACTCTGGGACTCGAACCCAGTACCATTCGCTTCAAACGATATCGCGTTAACCACTTAGCTAATGAGTACTGACAGCCACCTGCTTGTACAATCGGGTGAAGTTTTAAATTCACTTCGTATGGTTTATTTGAATCTTCCGATTGATGTTCAGGACTGCAATTGATCAATCTGTTATTGGCATATGTGCATACTGTGCTTATTGCCTCGATATTGACTGATCAATTGCAGTTCCAAAACATCAATGGGAAGATTCAAGTAAACAATACCAAGTGACATTTGTAATTACTTTCAGCATTTTCTAAAGAAGTAATCAGTACCATGTAGTAGAAAGATAGTTAATTTATCGTACGATGAATACATTCATTTCCTATGATGAACATAAATAATTCAGACCATAGAATCTGAATACAAAAAATCTAAACTTCCAACCTAAGTTTATTCGCTAACGATGAAATGTAACACTTACCGTTTATCGTCGGTGAGCTATAATTTGACTCCTGGTTCGACTAACTCAATCAATCATGACAGCTCACTGGAACATCATGAATTCCATCTCAAGCTTAACCACTTATGAATGTACGATATTTACATAAAATGGCGGTTCCTTGGAGAATGATGATGAATGAATAAACTATTTAAAACAACACTGAAACCTCCATCAATATCAGCTTAACTCACTGGTGAGTAGATAACAAATATCGAGCTTAATTAAACCCAGAAGTTCATAATTCAGTAACACTAATGATAAAATAATTCCATACTTTGGTTAGATTACAAGTTACATTCTTCAAGCGTACATTGATTGGTATCCATTCCATCTCGTATTAAACTAGATTACGATTAAGCATATGCAATGCGGATAGGAGACACATTAAGGAATGCACCCAACTGCGTCACAAGACAAGCCCCCACATGGAATCCTCAAGGCCGAAGGAGGAGAATTGGAAGACCAAAGAACACATTACGCCAGGAAATGGAGATAGACATGAGAAAAATGAACGAGAATTGGATGGAATTAGAAAATAAGGCCCAGGACAGAGTGGGTTGGAGAATGCTGGTCGGCGGCCTATGCTCCATTAGGAGTAACTGGCGTAAGTAAGTAAGTAAGTAAGTAATATGCAATGCACATCTCAACGTTACCTACAATTTCCATAACTTCAAAATTGTTCTAGTACTTGATAGATTTCTTAACACATTTTTTAAACATCTTCAATCATTTTACTTACCCATATTTGATGGACCAGCTAATCTATTTTGTGATGAAAGATAAGATGGTTCCATAGCTGAAGGAATTTGAAAATTCTGTAACCAGTGCTGTTGTTGTTGTTGTTGTTGTTGGGGAAACATTGGTGGTCTTAAATTTGAAAGAAGTAGATTAGAATTTGGCATTAAATTAGGACTATGAAATAGTGTTGGAGGTGGAGCACCAGACAATGATGGTGGTGCAGTTAATGATTCTCCAGTATTATAAGCAATTGATGTAGGAAGTAAAGCTCGTGCAAGATTATTGAAAGCAGATGATGTAGATAAACCAGAAAGACTAAGTGTTGTTAAGGGTTGTATAGCTGGTGTGACCTGTTCATAGAAATAAAATGAAAATTTATTATTAAAGCATTTAGAATGAAATCATATATTACACTGGACCCGTAAATCAATTGAGAGGGAGCATTTGTTCCACGGTTAACCTATTCAGTAAACGTAGCTAATTTGCAAAATATCAATCCATTGTCTCAAATTTGACTGTTCCTTTGGAAATATCAGTCTATTGTCTGAGATTTCATTGTTCATGCATTTTCATACCAATTACATTCCGTCTCCTTTCCTTCTCGATCTTCTACTGAAATACATTCTATGCCTGACCATCGTTTTATATAGTACTTATATGGATATAAGTAATCCACACCATACTACATCAGTATTTAACTTGATCAAGGCTAATTATGCATGTAACTACATTGTTGAGACGTTAGCAAACGATCTTGTGATTTTGAAACTATCTTCTAGGTAACAAAGAGTAAATCTGTAATAATCAAGCGTATTTCATTAGGAAAATAACGAAACTTGTAAGTGTATAGTGATTTTAGAAAGGTTACTAGTTTTAGAAGGTCAAGTGCCAATCTCATAATCTTCAGATTGAATACATCTCGCTACATAATCTCATTCATTTGAGACTTTTGGATCCTTTTAATAGTCAGAAATAATGTTATCATTCTGGGTCCTTCAATGGAATTCTTGGTATGGTTGATAGTAACAACTTCTTATTGACTATAAGTAAGTAGGAAACTGTCAATTCCATGGTATACGATCCATTCCATTTGATATGTTATGACTGAAGTCATTTGGATATCAGTCTTCATATTTCACATACTAAGACTTAATTTCAACACTGATCACTTCAAACAAATACGCATTATCTACGAAGTAATAGCTAATAGCTAAACGACTTATTCAGTGGGTTCATTATATGTAAGGGTTCTTATTTAAACTATATTTTTCAGCACATCATGTTTTGGTATTCTTTCAAAAAAAGTAATTATATATTTTTTGATTGAGATCATCAACCCATTGATGTTAGACCACTATTGTAAACCTGGAAGCACTGGACGGCTCACTAGTGACTAGCTTCGTGAGAAAATTCTCAGAGTTCTGGTGATTAGCTGTGACCAATGGAGCTAATCCGTGTCGGGTAGAGACAGATGTCTACCTCAGTACAATGGAAAATGGCCACGCGACTTTGTGGATTGGTTGAGGTTAGGTATTAACACCATTGAATGCCGGCTCAGTGGTCCAGTAGGTTAAGCGTTCGAGCGCGAGACTGAAGGCTCTAAGTTGGAATCCCGCGAGCGGGATCGTGAGTGCGCACTGCTGAGGAGTCCCACAATAGGACGAATCGGTCATCCAGTGCTTCCAGGTTTTCAGTGGTTGTCTAACATCAGTCGATTCATGATCTCAATAAAAAAAAACTTAATCTCCACAACCCCTAAACTCTTAATTATATTTCAACAAAGGCGTACTATATTGACAACCTTGAACGACCTGCTAACCTATCAGGAAACACTTCCTAGTTATACAACTATTAACAATAGAGAAATAAAAATACAGTGGAATAGAGATTATAACATGCAAAATAATCCTTGACGTGTTATATTACTCATCATTGTAGATATCATATCTAGAGTTTAGATTCTTAATATACCGCGTACGTCTAGAGCACTTGAACACTTGAATCCTCCACGTCGCAAATGAGAAGACAGAACACAAGTGAAAGGAATGTTATTCTAAACAGTGTCAAATATGGTACAAATCTGTCAGGTATTTATAGTTTTTTTAATGAAAACAAAATCATCATTATAGTCATTCAACCCGCATACAGGGAATTTTAGCATTTGTCCAACAGGGAAGCTACACGTCGAGATTCTGGAATGTTCTTCGAAAAGATGATTGGATGAAATATCTTCTGCTCTTTCTGAGTTTCTTAGAATTTCCTTAAGTTCGCCCGCCGGCCGTCCTCACAGTAAGGAGAAAAATGTTGAGTTTACATACTAGGTGGTGGGTTAGTGTTATGAGGGTTAGGATTATATAACCCTGTGAGATTTTTTCATCAACTGACACCAACTACAATGTGACGATATTTTTGTTAACATTCTATTTACAAACTTAAAGGAACTTTAAGTTAAGATTTATAGTTGGGAGTGAGATTGAGAGAACATTAGTTAACTATACAAACACCCTTAATTATGCATTTTATCATATCAAAAATAGATGTTTCTTGTAATCTAGTTTCAGCACTATGCCATACCAAGTATGGAGTCTACCACCGGAACTCTGAGTACAAAAACGATACATTCAACTTTTCATCCTTCCTTAGTCCTAGTTCCCTTTAGTAGTATGTTTCGGTCTTGTTTTGCAGTGGTAACAATCATAATAAACCCTGAGAAAATAGTATTATAATGTCTAAATCTCTTAAATATGAAGATTGATGCAGGATAATATGAATTCATTTCATTTCACTAAAAACTCGTCATCTCCTTACAACTTAGGTAATATTACATCGTCTTGATGGAGTTTTGTTCTCTGAACTGGATGGTTTGGTTGTGGAGCTTTAACGTTCTTCTGGACGACATCATCAGCACAAACTTCATATAGAAGTGAAACATTCTATCTGAAGTTTGTGCTGATGATGTCGTTAGAATAACGATGAAAGCTCCACAACCAAACCATCCAGCTCAGAGAACAAAACTCCATCAAAATCATCCACCTGAGCTACAAATCTTCTCCACAATATTACATCATCAAAATTATCATGAAAACTGATATACGATAGCTTTACGGTGGATTTTAGAAATCACTATGTACATCATGATGTAATGAAGATTGTAAGAAAGTTAATATGATTGTGATGACAATATACAAGTTCATTTCTAATCACTTTTGTAGTTATGCATTTTAGCTTTGTCATGTTAATACTCAAACGGTTGTCTCTACTTAACTTTTAAAAGTATCTCTGAATAGCTTGAAAGTTTGGTGGAGAGAGTCTGCTCTTCCTCTCACACGGCCTCACGTATACAGACACTTCCAGAGAAGTCTCAATCACTGACTTTTCATGGCATTACTGTTGTATACGAAACTCGGAGGAAAAAAAAGCAAATGTTTGATGCTTTAACCGGGTTGGTCGATATGGAGGATCTGTGTAGGAGAGTTGGAAAACCCGTTGGTGAACGTGGGCTCTACGATCCATAAGGAATAAATGGCGTACGAACCTATTGTTGGTCAACAGCTCTCATGGGACGGCATCTCTCAACGTTGCTCCACTGACTTATGGACTAGAGCTTTAGATCACAAGCTTGAAAAGTGGCCTACTGAGAAAACCATTTGCTTCAGTTTAGGAGTCTGGGCAGTATCTCAACCGTCACACTAATCGAATGATGAAGTGTCATGCATACATATTTGATGCCTCCTTGTTCTAATGTTTATGTGTTTAAATTAATAAAAATAAGTGATATGCTAGGAAAATTAAAGACTATCTGTAATTTTGGTGATTATTCTATTTACATAATCCACATGATATTTAATATTACCCTAATTACACTGTAGAATGTTCGGTGACTGGGATTCAAATGAAAAGTTTCCTACGTTTACATCATTATGCTCTGATAGAGAACATATTCGTAACTACTAAGCGAACTGTACCGGGTTTCAGTTCCAGAGTGAACATCAACTCTGAGATCCAGGTATATCCAGCTGACGAGTCCCAACTAGGACGAAATGCGCTTCCTGGATTCCACTGCTAGCCACTATCCATTTTTGCTTAAAAATATAAGTCTTGTTTAGGTTATCAGATAATACGTCAGTACAGCGAGAGGAAATCGATGAGGTATGAAGAATGGAGTAGGGAACTATATCAATCAATCATAGATCAAATGATAAACAAGAGATTCTGAAGAGATCATTATATTGGTCAAATCTTGACTTGATTTTCTTAGGAAATATAAATTTGCTGTTAGTTCAAGTTGTAATTTAACTCTTTGATTTCAATGTTCTGGAAATTTCTCTTGTACATTTTGTTTATCTAAAAGAAACGTTCTACGATCTTACTGACTTTCATAGAATCTTTTCTACATCATGATGTACACATTCATATGTCAACTACCATGGTAATTTTGATGATGTAATATTATCTAAATTATAAGACGCTGATGAGAACCTAGTAAAATGAAATGGTTTCACATTATTCTTCAGCAATCTTTGAATTTTACTCTCGCCAAATTAATCAATGTATGAGAAGAAATCCACTTAGATACCAATATTGATTGAATAACCTACCTGTGGATACATACTCACACTGGGGATGATTGACGCTTGTGTCTGAGGAATCTGTAATTGTTGTTGCATTGGAGTTTGGTGTTGTTGTTGTTGTTGTTGCTGCTGCTGCTGTAAAATTACACGTTGTAAGCTTGCAACCAATGAACTAGGAATAGTAGCGGATGGACGTTGAACAGTTGCATAAAGACTACTATCTATTGGTTGACCTTAAATGTGAAAAATACATGTATGTATATTATAGACAAATAGGTAAATAGGTAAATACATTCTAAGAAATAAATGCATCATCTCAATCGATAGATAATAATTACAATGAATTCCTGGAATTAGTCTGTCTGTTAGTCGAATCTGTTCACTACCATGAAGATGATTAGTCCCTCTAAATGTTTTAGGTACACATGTCCTAGTGACTTGGAACTAATATAAAACTAATATCAGGAGTTTGTTATCAATTGCTTTCAACTAATTACCATGAAACAAATCAACATGATATAATAAATGAATAAGACTAGATTTGTAAGCAGAGATGGTAATGGGTAGCAATGGATAACAGAATGCGTATTTCGTCCTATTTGGGACTCGTCAGTTGGGTCCACCTACATTCCAAAGTTGATGCTTGTAGCTGAGTGCAATCTTCACAAGATGCGCATATGTCAATAAGAGATTGATCTATTTCAGTTCTAAACATCGACGGGAAGATTTAAATACACAATAGAGAAATGAATCATAGATTCGATTGTTTGAATTCACCTAAGACTAATAATTAAACACCATGGTACTTATTACACTAACTAAATAATCAGGCTAGTGCAAAACACAGGTCATCACAGAGTTTCTTGTCAATTACCGTCAACTAACTTCGAAAATGAGCACTTTAGTGTCAGGTAACGTGTTACGAATATCTCCCTGCCTAATTGATTCAATATCATCCTATTATTGACAATGTCATGACAACTTACGCAGATATACTTTCAGAATGTCCTCTAATCAAGGTCGAATTGTTTGTGCTGATGAGGAGTCCGTAAACGGGATGTACACAGATATGTAATGACCTCTAGTTTATCCATGATATCAATTCTTGATTGAAAAATTATCTTTAAATTACATATAAGAGATCAACCTTTACTATTCTCTCAATTAAACACAGAGGTTTACTCATTGGGCTAATCTTATTTGGACAACTGTAGAAAAGCACTTGATAGCTGTTCCGTTCCTACATGGAAATTCCTAGCAATGTACCTTCAAATTAAAAATATGCCCTATGAACGGATAATCTTAGATTTTTCAAGCCTGAAACAGATACCTGATATTTTCTAGTTCTCAATAGTTATCCGCCTCACAGGTGTGTTCCAAATAGAACCGGTATCAAACAAAAATATCTACTGTCTCCTTTTCTCTTTATTCTGATGATTTATTGGATAATGAAAACCTCCACATCTTAGATGATGCACGGAAAACAGCGAACAGCATGGATGCAACAAGATGATTTGGACTTTGCAAATGATCGGTACTTTCCGACCTATACACAACAATAAATTCAAATGAAGCCAAACATAGTGGCATGAGATCGTGCAGTAGTATGTCTCAACTTTAACAAGATAAAAAGCAAAATCAAGAAATACAACTCAGCGAGCACAAACCATAACACACTTGGTGAAGAAGTTCTGAAAGAAGTGGAAGCTTTATATACCTGAGCAACATCACTAATAAACATGGGGAATCTGATGTGAATGTAAAGGAACGGATCGGCAAATTAATAATAGCTCTCCCCCAATTAAAGAACATCTGGAACTCAAAACAACTATCAGCAAAGTCGTAATTTTTATTGCAGACATCAATACAGTTCTGTTGTACGATGCTGAGACTTGGAGGACTATCGAACATATCATCAAAAAGGTACAAGTATTTATAAACCATTGCCTCAGCAAGACACTCAGCGTCCATTGGCCGGATATCATCTGGGACAATCTACTGTGAAAGGCGACAAACCAGCTTCCGACTGACGAAGAAATTAGAACAAATATTGTATAAATCATCAAACTGAGTCACGAGGCAAGCCCTAACTCAGAAGCATCAAGGCAAAAAGAGAATAGATAAACCGAAAGAGACATTTTGCAAGGAATTGAAGACAAACATCAAAAAAGAATGAATAGCAACAATTAGAAATGAAAGTTGAGGACAGAATAGTCTGAAGAGAATGCTGGTTGGTGTCCTCTGCCCTATGAAAAGTAACAAACCATAAATTAATCTAATAGTTGTCTTATATCAATTTGTGATGGAATCCATAAACAATACCAATAGTATTTATACACACCCCTCCATATCACTAATAAACACAAAAATGCATTAATCATGAGATTATAAAATTACGTAATCTTTATTACCAGCTGTATAATCCAAAGTTTGTTGTTGTTGCTGTTGTGGATGGAGTTGTTGACGTTGTTGTTGTTGTAAAAGTTGTTGATGTTGTTGAAGTAATTGTTGATATAAACTTTGTAATTGTGCCAAATTTGATCGATTCATTGAAATTTGCCCACTTGACGATTGATTATGTGTAAGTTGAGTTTGTTGTTGAGATTGTTGTTGATATTGTGGTATATCAGAGTACATATTTGCAGTATAATCTGATTGAATTAAACCTTTAGTTAGTAAATTATTATTTTGTGGAACTTTTACTCGAGGACTAAGCAATGCTTGTTGATATAAAGGTATTTGATTTGTACTATGTGAAGCATCTTGAATATTTATCCATTGACTAGAACTTTGTGGACTACGACCACGTATTACTGGATGACTTAGTGGATCAGATGTTTGTCTCATTAAGTTCAATCGATTGGGTTTTGATGAATCTGTTTAATAAAAATGAATCTCAATTACTTATTGAATAATTGACTATTAACATTCTTGGAAACTGATCTATGTCTTCAAGTTCACAATAAGACTAGTTGAATATTATCAAAGGCGGTGAAAATCCAGGTTAATATATTGATGTGTGAAGCTGATTGGTTGTTTGCTAAGTCAAACTTGTGGATAGTCTGACAGACGTTAGATGAATTATATATTCTCCTACCCTTGTTATTATTATTATTGTCGGTTTTTTAGTGTGGAAATATACTTACGCCCTAGTCAGACTAGTCACGTGTTCTTGATGTAAATTGTCCTGTTAAATAGACACCCAGAAAGTATCTAGTGCAGATATTCGTCTAAAGCAAATTAGCGTTCCATTGGTGTAGACGAGGAAAACTGAGCGTTATAACACATATAGTCTTCTATTCAAATGTAATATAGTTTCGTTGGTGAATATTATTTGATTCAATACCTAATCATTGCTTCTCGTGTGTTAACAACACCGATTCATGTTAATCTATCAGGATAGCCGTTTAAATGAAGAAAGAAACCAGAACATCAGTGCACGGGTGGTATCGATAATTGAAATTCACTTTTGTCAAACTTCATATTCTACAAATGTCTTCATTTCAATTCCTTTTTAGCAATGAAGGATCATCCAGTCAAGGATTCTTCATCTCTAACCAATTGTTTATAGACCTTCATTATAGATTAAATCAGAGTGCATTTTATAACTGTCTCTTCTAAGAGCAAACGATAATGAATATATCATAAGAAGAACTGAACATTTTCAGAGAACATTTCTGAATTCTTTAATTCACTTGGTTTTGTTTACTTGAATCTTCTTATTGTTATTTAGGACTGCAATTGTTCAGTCTCTTGCAGGCATATGTGAATCCTATGCGGACTGCCTCGATATTGCCTTAGGTCACTAACTTTTTTTAAGCAAAGATGGATAGTGACTAGCAGTGGGATCTAGGTTGCGTGTTTCGTCCTATTAGGGACTCGTCAGTTATATGTACCTGGATCTCAGAGTTGATGTTCACACCAGGACATGAACCCAGCAACGTTTACTTCAAACGCCATCACGTTATCCACTTAGCTACTGAGGTCTAATAGCCACCTGCTTGTGGCTTGATTTCAGTTGGTATTGTTTACTTGAATCTTCCAAATGATGTTTAGGACTGCAATTGATCAGTCCATCAAATTCACGATAAAAACATGACAGACAAAAGGGATACTATTGATGATTAACTGTCTAAGTGCCAATGTGATTAAATTATAGTCGTTATCAACTAAATTCAAGATGATTTACCAAGTTTCCAGTCAAAAAATCATGTCAATAAAATCCCCGTAAATAAGACCTATTATACAAACCACCGAAAACTGTATAATGCTACAAATAAACTTCTCCAACCCTTTTTTAATGTATAAAACTGGATTTAGAGATTTGATAGTGGTTGGAGGTAGTCGACAGGAAACCTTGGATCCGGGTTTCGTGCTACTTGGCACTCGTCAGCAAGGTGTGCCTGTAATCTTGAGGGAACTGGTGCTTCCTGACAGATTCGATCCCGTGCCACCCAGCTTCACAGTCACAATCGTTACCACTGAACTATCCGGGCCGCGACCGACCTCCAGTCAGTAGTTATAGAACAGAAAATTAATCAAGTGATGTGAGTGAATTATGATATAAATCACGTTAATGAATTGTATCAATCCATATGAGCAATCGTGAATACAGACTAATAGAGAAAACGCTGAAATTTCAGCTAGAAAACTAAAGAATCCTTATAGACTTGATACTCAGCTCACTCAGCGATCAGTAAGCACATCGAAATCATCAGTATGAAGTTGTGGAGAATATCAAGTTTTTGATTGAGATCATGACTTGATTGACGTTAGACCACCATTGAAAACCTGGAAGCACTGGGTGGGACTCTTCAGCCGTACGCACTTACGATCCCGCTTGCAGGATTCAAACCCAGGACTTTGAGTTTCGCGCGCGAACGTTTAATCTCTAGACCATTGAGCCAGCATCCGATGGTGTTAATGTCTAACCCCAACCAATCCACGAATTCAGCTTAATTTATCAATCGATTAGAAAAATCATGAAAAAATATATAAAATCAGGTCAAAGTTAAAGATAATCAAATTAAATGTACAGACATTGACAGAGTAAATGTCATCAATGAACAATCAAGACCCAGGTTATTAATACAAGTTGTCAGTCACATATGGAGTGTTCCGAGTAGGAAACTTCTACCTGAAGATTGTGCTGGTCGATTTCAGTCAGAACAAACAAAGCTTCACGATCAAACTGACCAGCTCCTTAGTGAACAAACCTCCATCAAAATATGAATCATGCATTTAAACTAGTAAACTAGTAAGATAATAACCAGACAGAAAAGTTTTATCTTAAACAATACGTAAGTACGAAGTGTGGTAAATTTACGACCATGGTAAAGACAATGGATTTAATATATAGTTTTTTGGTGTGAATGACAATTCTGTGTGGCTAAAGTTTGGATCATGCAGACGAAAACCTTTCAGAATATTTAACTAGATAATACAAACTGATAAATCTTCTCACTGAACTCTTGAACTGGTTTCTTAAGCTTTTCTAGTAACCTCAGGCTATATCTACACGACAACTTCAACATGAGAGAAAAGGTGAGAGATATGAGAGGAACGCTTGACTCTAAGGTTAGTTTATGTAAAGAAATTTTAGGGTATTTATAACATTTCAGATAGACTTGAGCTTTCGGAAGGTTCTGGAATCCTATTAAACATAACAATAGGATAGGTGTTACTCTTTATTTTCTAGATGTTTCCGCGAAACTTCTATTCAATGCTGATTGGATAAAATGTTTCCTAGTGTTCCCAGGGCCCCTTTGAGCTTTTCTCGAGGAAGGTTTTGGGTGTCCTCAAACATCAATGTAAATAGACGGATTTGAGGTCGTTTATGCTTTATCGACCACATGTTGCAGAATAGATCACTAAGTTAATCTTCATTTTTTCTTACAAAGCCAATTTAAGATATACCAATTATGGCACTATGACCCTGATCATCAGTTACTTGTTTTTAATGTCACGAAATTCATAACGTTTTAGTCAACTAACACAAGTTGTAAATAAGGTATTTTAAGATGTCTGTATATGACGTGACATCCATGAATGTTGTAACAGTTATACCTTGTACTACCATATTTTTGATAGATGAACAGAAATATTGTGAGTTGAATAAGTAGTTTGTATTCTCCTTGGTAACATTGGTCACCACTGAATGACCAATCAATCATAAGTATCCCACTTCTTTAATGTATTAGTCGTAGTAGTCTTAATAGATCGGTGGTATACAAAAAATCATGCTACTGTCTAATAGTAGCATGTCACATTGATATTCTAGAAAGCTTCATCATGTTCTGATTAGACGGAAACTCTTCGGCTTCTTTAGAGCTTCTAGAGGCTCCATGGTAGTTCTCAGAAGCCGTACCAACAGTAATGTCTTAGAATGTGAAGCTCGATGACCTTTCTTCAAATCTCACAAATAGCAATAAATCTTTCACCTTAGTTCTGAAGTTTTCTATCGATTTCCTTCATCCACTCAACATTAATTAAGTACCATTTACCGATTTAATTTTGGAATAGTGTAAATGCCTATTCTCAACCGAACTTAGTTAACAAACTACAAATACCCCGCTTGTTACATGAAACTAGTTTTTATCACAGAATTAATTTTCGGAAAGCATTTAACACATGAAGGTTTTCATCTACTCACTGGACGCTATCCAAGATTTTGCTTCTACAACTAGACAAAAGGTGGAACTAATAAAGATTTGAATTTCAACATAGATGGTCCTCAATTTTGCAACACCATACAAATTGATTAAACTAAAGCATAAAGATGAACTGATCAGGATTAAGAACGTCGTTTCAAAATTGAAGTGGACAACTGAAACAGAAACGTCGAATATCTATAAGATGGTTGCTAATTACATAATAATAATAACATAATTAAACGATGAAAGATTCTTTTGGGAACCTACTTTAAGCTAATTAGAACAATAAATATTGTTGAGACAAGGTGACTAAGTTAATTCTCAATATATAGTGCCCGCAATGTCGAGTCACCTAGACTGGTGGCCACATTGCAACATGGTCGATAGCATTCGATCTACACTCAATAAAGACTTGACACACATGATATTGATCACCACCCACTGATCAATCAGTTGTCAAGGTGACTAAGTATCTGATCGTTTTTCGTACATTAAAAAGGTAATGAAACAAATTATAGGGTAATGTACTGTAAAATAGTTACCAAACTTGAAGCAAATATAAATTATGAACCACTGACTGCTTATCCTACAGCCCTATTCTAATCTTAAAGTACAATACATCCTTCAAGGCTCACTATTTTTTTTCTGTCTTTAGTCTTGATTCAGTCATGTTTATATCAACATTATACTATTACCCCATGTGAATTTATTGAATCTCCTGTAAATAATGTGATTGTGTCATCAGAATCAATGTGTAAAGTCACTGAGACTATAATTTATGTACGACCTTTGAGTAATACTGAAATGACATGGAAACATCCATCTCACTATGGTTCAATGAGGGTTATAGATTAGTGTGAGAATTTAGGAGCCGAAATGGTATTTAGCCAAATGAATGAATGAATTTCGCTCTAAAAACCAAAACCTTCTATTTTAAATCTGATTGGGTTCATCCAGTTTTGCTGGAAAATCTTTCAACTTCGATTACTTTCTTACCTTCGACTTTCATAATTCAAACATGTACAGGATTGTTTCGAGAAAAAGTAGATGCTTTTGACATGTTATGCAATCGTTTAGTGAGAGTAGACTAATAAACACCCAATGATAAATGCAAAAGAAACAATATATTATTTGTAGACTGACTTCACTAATGATTTCACATTGTGTTAATAACGAATTTCAATAGTTCAGATCATGAGTCGATTGAAGTTAGATCACTATGG